TGCTACTCAGGAGGTTCAGGTGGGAGGATTTCTTGAGCACAGGAGCCAGAGGCTGCAGTAAGCCAAGATGATACCACTGCATTCCAGCCTGGGTGACACAGTGAGACCCTGTCTCAAACAAAACTAAATTAAACTAAATTTTAAAATTTAGTTCCTGGCCAAGTGCGGTGGCTCACACCTATAATCCCAGCACTTTGGGAGGCCTAGGCGGGCAGATCACCTGAGTTCAAGAGTTCAAGACCAGCCTGACCAACATGGAGAAACCTCACCCCTGCTAAAAATACAAAATTAGCTGAGCGTGGTGGCACATGCCTCTAATCCCAGCTACTCAGGAGGCTGAGGCAGGAGAATCGCTGGAACCCAGTAGGCAGAAGTTGTGGTGAGCCAAGATGGCACCATTGCACTCCAGCCTGGGCAACAAGTGAACTCCGTCTCAAAAAATAATAATAAATATAAAAAATACACAAATTAGCCAGGCACTGTGGCATGTGCCTGCCCGTAGTCCTCATACTTGGGAGGCTGAGGCAGGAGGATTGTTTGAGTCCAGGAGGTCCAGCCTGCAGTACACTATGATCAGGTCACAATACTCCAGCCTGGTTGACAAAGTGAGACCCTGTCTCAAAAAAAAAAAGGAAAAAGAAAAAGAAAAAATTTAGTTCCTATTCAAAATCCAAAGATACAAATGTGTTGTTACATTCTTATCACATCCTTACGAGCCAACTGCAGACTTCCAACGAAACTGAAACCCTACCAGAAAAAAAGTTCAGTTTTCAAAAAAAAACCTGCCTGTAGTCTCAGCTGCTACTCAGGAGGTTCAGGTGGGAGGATCGCTTGAGCAGAGGAGGCAGAGGTTGCAGTGAGCCAAGGTGGTACCACCACACTCCAGCCTGGGTGACACAGTCAGACCCTGTCTCAAGCAAAACTAAACTAAACTAAATTTAAAATTTTAATTCCCATTTAAAATTCAAAGATACAAATGTGTCACTACATTCTTATCATATCCTTAAGAGCAAACTGCAGACTTCCAACAAAACTGAAACTCTTCCAGAAAAAAGTTAAATAATTTGTCACGTACAATCCCAGTCTCACCAGAGGACAGTTACACTTGCTTGGTGTGGCTCCAGAGTTCAGAATGAAACTCAGTGGTTTTAAGTAGTTTCTAAGGAGGCAGCTTCCAGTCGAACAGAGAACAATTAAAGCTGTCCAAAAGGGAAACCAGGGGGCTTGGAGGGACCGGGTGGCAAATCCAGAGAGACAAAGAATTGCAAATCCTCCAGGAATGGGCGAGGCTTCAGTAAGTCACTGAGTACTCAGAGGGCTGGACTGCAGGGTCTCTGGGGTCCTTCCAAGCTCCCAAATCCATGCCCCCACTTGTGGTGAGTTCCCTCTGCTAAAAGCGTTCAGTAGAGGTGAGGGATGGTGGAGGAGGAGTCTGTCTCAGAATGAGAGGATGGAGTGAAGCAAGTTTCAAACAGATTCACCACTGGCACCTGAAGACCAACAGATGCCCATCCACACTACATTAAAAAATTCAAGGTGAAGTTCATCACTTTCTGTGGGCAGGCCCATCAGAACAGACACTGACTGAAGAGCTACAGATACCCCTCCACTTTTTAACTTACATTAAAAAGTAACTTACATTAAAAAGTTCAAGGTAAAGTTCATCACTTTCTGTGGGGAGGCCCCAGAACATGAGCAACCATTGTGTGGCGGTACTCAAAGGTGAAGCAGTCACCCTGAAGAGCCAGGACACACATCTGTGAGTTTTTTGAGGTTGTTATTGCTTTGGGGTTTTTTTGTTTGTATTTTGTATTTTTAGTAGAGACGGGTTTTCACCATGTTGGTCAGGCTGGTCTTGAGCTCCTGATCTCATGAGCCACCTGCCTCGGCCTCCCAAAGTGCTGGGATTACACGTGAGCCACTGTGCCCAGTGATGTCTGTAAAGTTTTAAAGATTATCACCAAAAAAGAGTTAAAGCACTTAAAAATGAAGGTGGAGAGCTCAGAGGCTCTGAGAACAAATTCACAAACACCCAAGGGCCCAAGAATTCCAGGCTGAGAACAACTTGACCAGATCCTTCAGAAAGCATCTGACCGAGAAGATTCTGTGAATTAGGTGTGGCACAAAAATTACCTGTATGAGGTAAATTTCTAATTTAGTTTACCTCTGTGGATTTGATCACTATTGATTAAGGGCTGCTATTTGGCAACATTCATGGTGTTGTACCAGTCAGTGTCTGTTATGATGGGTCAGATGCTTATATAAGCACCACAATGGTGTGGGCAGATTTGATATTACTGGGCTTACCCTTAGTGATGCATTCTATTCCACCTGTGCCCAGGCGGTGTTAAATATATAAGCATCTGGTACGCTTACAGTGGATGCTTATATGTTTAACGCTTACCAGATGCTTGTATGTTTAACACTGCCTGGGCACAGGTAGAATAGAATGCATGCTAAGGGTAAGCCCAGTAATATCAAACCTACCCACCACTATTGTGAGTCCCTGCAGCAGAGGCAAGTAGGTGCTGTGGCTCTAATAAAAATAAACACCAGTAGTTAAATTACAGTAACATTTGCGATAACACTTTATCAAACATTTTCATGTCTTTAATTTCATTTGGCAGTGTCCAAACTTTTATGAAATAATGAATGAGGCCAGGCATGATGGCTCACTTCTTTGGGAAGCCAAAGTGGGCAGATCACTTGAGGTCAGGAGTTTGAGACTAGCCTGGCCAACATGGCAAAACCCCATTTCAACTGGAAATATGAAAATTAGCCAGGCATGGTGGTGCACACCTGTAATCCCAGCTACTCAGAAGGCTGAGGCAGGAGAATCCCTGAACCCAGGAGACAAAGATAGGCTGCAGTGAGCCAGGATCGCACCACTGCACTCCAGCCTAGGTGAGAGAGCAAGACTTCATCTCAAAAAATAATAATAATAAAAGAGAGAAAGAAGGGGAAAAAGAGAAACATTTAATTACAGCTTTTGTAGGTGAATAAAACTAGGAAAAATATACAGGAACCTCACGCAGTCTGCCTATTCCTTTCATAAACATCTTAGCACACAATGACTGTTGCCGCTGTCAAATAGCTGTGGTCAAATCACCTGTTATTCCTGAACTCAAAATTCACACATTCGCACACAAATATAAACAAGCTTAATGTTTCACAAAATCTTGGAGGGCACACTACCAACTGTGCACACCTCCCTCTGAGGAATGAACCAAGGATGTCTATGCTCCAGTGTCTGGATACACCCACGACTCACAGCTATAAATATTCACGGACCTCCAAAGTGCTTGCTGGAGGCCTCTAAAAAGAACATTGCCTGATTCTAGAATTTAACCTTGAACAAGCACTAAGTTCTAGCAAAACAGAAATATGATATACACCAGAGACCCAAAACTTAAACATCAAACCCCAAATGCTCCTGATGAAGGAGGTTTTATCAACAGCATTTTGTTCAACTTGGCTCAGAGCAAGAGCTGGCCTGCTGCTGCTGTGGACATCATGAACCAGTGAGGGAAGAATTAGGCCTTACTCAGAGTACGTCAGGGGTACTGCTAGTGTTGAGTTGCTGCTAATAAAGTCAGCTGGAATTACACACAAAGGAACTTAAGCCCTGCTATTTCTGTGGCAGTTACAACCAGAAGACCCTACCACCTAAAGGCCTTATATGTACCTTAGCACAGTTAGATTTAAATAGATGCACACATACACATTCTTTTTCATCTTCCCAACAGCTCGTGTTTTCTCTACTTTACAGATAAGGCTGAAAACAGCTAGCTTGATTTAGTTAGTGTTTCTGAGCAAAGGAACCACAGGACAAAATGGAAATGCAGGACTTTGATCTCCAGATCCTTCGCTCTTCCCTTAGTACCTTGCCATCCTTCACTTGCAGGGAAGGACTGTTACATGGTCAAGGGCTATGTTCTGCCAACTGGACAAAGACAGTGGCCGCTAGCTTTGAGCCTGGACTATTATGAACTTGGTTTTGAGAGATCATCATCCTGATACATGTGAAAGAATTAAAGAAACATGAACGGTGGCTTGGCAGTCAAGGACAGGTTTATTTTAGAGAAAATTAACCTAAGAGGGGCTTCTGGCCAAGCTGGGTCAGAGCCCACTCTCTTAAAAAGAGTTTTTAAGGATTTAGGGTGGGAGGGTTTACCAGAGGCTTGGACTGCTTCTGTGTCTCTTTGTTGTGCTTATTTGAGAGGCAGAGTTGTGTGCCTATTCCCATACATCTTTCTGCAGCTGCAGGCATACCCACCCCTCCCTGAGTCTGCTTTTAGCTTCCTCATCTTAGTGTACCTGAAGGGAAAAGAATGTGCTTATAAAAGCCCATTGTTTTACTGGGGCCCATTGTGTAACGGTGAAGTTTGGCAGTTACCCCCCACCTCCCTCTGTGTCCCGGCTGTCTTATCTGTGTTTTACTGTCTTCTCTTTCTGGCTGCCTGTTGTTAGAAGACAAGTTATTTCCTTGAAATGCATGAGGCTAGAAAGGGAACTGGAACTTAAAGTGGCAGTGTTTGTCTGAGATGACGGTGCTCCTGCTCCGTCAATATGGATTAGACATTTCCTCTGTCAAGTTATATTCATATCCACGTGATGACCAGAGACACCAGAACAGTGTTCTTATGAATAGTTCTTAGAGCAAATTTACTGTACACAAATTTGACTTTCACATAAATAATTATAAATTCAGACACCATAGGCTGGACACAGTGGCTCACATTTGTAATCCCAGCACTTTGGGAGGCTGAGGCAGGCAGATCACCCAAGGTCGGGAGTTCAAAAACAGCCTGATCAACATGGAGAAACCTTGTCTCTACTAAAAATACAAAAGTAGCCAGGCATGGTGGCACATGCTTGTAATCTCATGGGAATTGCTTGAACTTGGAAGGTGGAGCTGAGATCGCACCATTGCACTCTAGCCTGAACAAGAGTGAAACTCCATCTCAAAAAGAAAAAAAAAAAAAATTCAGGCACCGCTAAGAGTTGTTTTTCTTCATTCCTTTACATTTTTTATGAGCATTTACATATCAAAAAAAAATGTCTAACGTCCTGCCACACCCCATGGCATTCCAGTTCACCTGGCTGAAGTAAAATCCAGTAAACAAGGGCTTCGAGGTTGTTCATTACCCCAGGCCTCAGCTGCCTTATCAATAAATGAAGGTGTCAACCACAGGACTTTGGATCTCCCTAGGAGGGCATACCTTTAAGGTTTCAAAATAGGGTTCCAGGAATTAAAGAAAGAGTTCCTCTATAAATAGGAAAAAAAAAAAAAAAAAAAAAACCTCAAGTACATAAAAATGTTCAAAATCTTAATGAAAAAAGCATCAAGGCATTCATACAAAGCCATTCCCTTCAGGCAAAGCCAGACATCCCTCGGGCCAATAAGAGCCCAGTGATCCTGAGAACAACTTCAGTCTCTGGGACAGCCTCTCTCCTCATCCCTTGTACCAGAGGAACAAACTGTAGTAGCAGTGACAAGGTGGGGACTGTCTACACTACAGCTGCCAGCCCTGAGGAAATCCAGCCAAAAGAAAGGTGCTGCCCTGTAGATTGAGTCTGATTCAAGCTTTGCCTAAAGTGGGTGCTATCCATTCCTGGGTTTCCATGTGAACTGGCAATAAATTCTCTTCTTTGTTTCAGTCAATTCGAATTGGGTGTTCTGTCAATGGCACCTGAGAGGTTCCAACCCCAACATGGAATTTTTTTTTTTTTTTTGAGACAAGGTCTCACTCTGTTGCCCAGGCTGGAGTGCAGTGGTTTGATCTTGGCTCACAGCAGCTTCCACCTCCCAGGTTCGAGATTCTCCTGCCTCAGTCTCCTGAGTAGCAGAGATTACAGGAGCCCACCACCACGCCTGACTAATTTTTGTCTTTTTGGTAGTGACAAGGTTTCACCAAATTGGAGCTGGTCTCAAACTCCTGACCTCAAGTGATCCACCTGCTTCGGACTCCCAAAGTACTGGGATTACAGGCGTGAGCCACCACACCCAGTCCAACATGGAATTTGACATCACGTTGTAAAGTTTCTGCTTTCAGAGCAGCTGAGTGTAAATGAGCCGTCATCTTCCTACAGGGAAACCTGTCTCCAACCCAAGAAAAACTTCCTGCGTGAGCTCCTTCCTTATACAAAAGCAGGAAATGGGCCTGTCATAGACCAAATTTTAACCTCACCAGATGTGCAGAAGAGAAGTCTTAGGAAGGGGGAAATCAGAGCAGGGAGTGGGTGAACTGTGACTTCATTGTCAATGTTCATGCAGAGGGGACACAGAATTATAACTAAGAGCCAGTTGCCTAGAGAGGCAATCTAAGCTGCCTAGGCTAAGAACAGTGGTTCTTTGAGCACCAAGGAACCTTAAAATGTACCTGGTCCCCAGGCCAGGAACAGTGGTTCATGCCTGGAGTCCCAACACTTTGAGAAGCTGAGGTTGGAGGATCGCTTGAGCCCAGGAATTTGAGACTAGCTTGGGAAACATGGCGAAGCCCCATCTCTACGAAAAAATACAAAAATTAGCTGGGCATGGACACACATCTGTAGTCTTAGCTGCTTGGGAGGTTGAGGTGGGAGGATTGCTTGAAACTGGGAGGTCAAGGCTGCAGTGAGCAGTGATCCCGCCACTGGACTCCAGCCCATGTGATGAAGTGACTCTGTCTCAAAAATACAATACCTACACAAACCAAGGCCAATTACTCTCTCTTCAGGGTACACATCCAAAACCAAGGCTACAATCCAAGTCTTCAATAATGAAAGTTTTCTGGCCAGGCATGGTGGCTCATGCCTATAAACCCAGCATTTTGGGGGTGGAGGTGGGAGGATCACTTGAGCCCAGGAGTTTGAGACCAGCCTGTGCAACAAAGTGAGACACCTCCATTTCTACATAAAATAAAGAATAAAAAGTAGCTGGCCATGGTGATATACATCTGTAGTCCCAACTACCTGGGAAGCTGAGGTGGGAGGATAGCTTGAGCCCGGGAGGTCAAGACTACAGTGACCCGTGATTACCCCACTGTACTCCAGTCTGGGTGACAAGAGTGAGACTGTCTCCAAAAAAAAGGAAGTAAAAAAGAAATTATTCTAACATTTAGACTTATTAAAAGAAAAAGAAAAAACAGAATTGACTGTGTCAGAAAACAGGGTGCTTCCTGTTTCTAGAATGACTGGTGAAGACCACCAATTTCTGTGCTGGGCAGGAGGTTGGAGGATGCCGCCAATAATTCATTTGAAGTCTAAGAACCAACAAAAACTCTCTGCTATAATGAAAGTTCATCCGGGGGCACAGGGAATATGAGTTTTTTCCTTAGTGTGAAAGCAGGCTGGGGCATCTGTTTCTTTGTTCCCAGTCTGTCTGCTCGTTGACTCACATCATTGTTGACAGCAGTGAGGATGGATAAGATGTCTTCATGACTGCAACAGAGAAGAAAAAAAATTTTTTTAGCAAAGTCTCACTCTGTCGCCCAGGCTGGAGTGTGATCTCGGCTCACTGTAGCCTCCATCTCCTAGATTCAAGTGATTCTCATGCCTCAGCCTCCCAAATAGCTGGGATTAAAGGTGCCCACCACCACAGTCGGCCAGGTAGTAAAGACAGAGTTCCACCATATTACTTGCCAAGGCTGGTCTCAAACCCCTGACCCGAGGTGATCTGCTTACCTCAGCCTCCCAAAGTTCTGAGATTACAGGCATGAGCCACTATGCCTGACTCAGAGAAGAAAATTTTTTCAATCAGGAGGTGGAAACCACACATCAGGTCTTAGAAAAGACACTAAGTAACATGTACCAGATCTTAGATCAATAAATCTGCAGCAGATACCACAATGCCCTATCTGTAGTCTTGGGAGAGATCAAAAAATAAACATGATACAATTCCTAGAGTTAAACACTTAGAATGCAGATATAAAACATTTAGCAAGGACGGCATATACACAATATTCATAACACAAGGCAGAGTGTGGTCAACACCAAATGAAAGGTCAAGGTTCCACTGCAAGTTCAGAGGAGAACACATTTCTGCTTGGCAGGGAGAGAGAAGGCTTTATGCAGGTGGTAGCATTTGAGCCTGGGCTTGCAGAACATACAGCATTTAGCAGAACATTCTCAGGGTGGCCAATACATATCGCTGGAAGCAAGCACAGGTTCTGAAGACAGATTCAATTTTGAATTGTGGCTCCATCGCTCATTCATTGTGTAGTCTTAGGCTGGTTATTCACTGCTCCATGCCTCAGTTTTCCCAGCTCTAAAATAAGGACCATAACAATCCCCATCTTAGGAGTTGTCAATTGAATTAAAGAATGTATATCAGGTAAAGCACTTAGAACACTGGCTACACTGTTCTGCTGACCATCATTTTTAGAATAAGTATGACTATTCTCATCCCCTCATCCTCACCATCGCTGTTTTTCAGGTAGGGATGCGGGTCCTGACCTGTTCTCCATCCCTACATCTTGCTTTGCACCTGCTCTCTATTCCCAAATCTTCCCGTGTCTGGTTCCTTCTTATCACTTAGTCTCACCTGAAATATTACCTCCGCCAAGAAGTTATCATTATCCTGTTTTGATTTGTTCATGGCAGGTATCACTTTCTGAAATTGTCTCTTTTTTTTAGAGACAGGATCTCACTCTGTTGCCCAGGCTAGAGTGCAGTAATGCGATCACAACTCACTATAGCCTCAAACTTCTGGGCCTAAGCAATCCTCCCACTTCAGACTCCCTAATAGCTAGGACTGCAAGTACATGCCACCACACCTAGCAAAGTTTTTTCTTGTTGATTTAAATGTCATTTAAATTAATATTAAATAATTAATAATTAAATGCCTAAAATTATTAAATCATTAAAGTCTCATTAATTTAGATATTAAACACTGAAAACTATAAAACATTGATGAAAGAAAGTGAAAAGGACACAAACAAATGGAACGATATCTTGTGTTCATGGGTTGGAAGAATTAATCTTGTTAAAATGACCATACTAACCAAGGTGATCTACAGACTTAACACAGTCCCTATCAAGACACCAGTGACAAGCTAAGTGCCATGGCAAATGCCTGTAATCCTAGCTACTCAGGAGTATGAGGTAGAAGGATTGCTTGAGCCTGGGAGTTCAAATCTAGCCTGGACAACACAGCAAGACCCTGTCTCTACAACAAAACAAAACAAAAACAAATGAAAAAATTACATTCTTCACAGAAATAGGAAAAAAGAAGCCTTTAATGTATATGGAATCGTAAGAGACCCCAAATAGTGAAGGCACGCTGAGCAAAAAGGAGAAGCTGGAGGCATCACACTAACTGACTTCAAAATAAGCTAAAAATCTAGAGTTCCCAAAACAGCATGGTACTGGCATAAAAACAGACACATAGATCAATGGAACAGAATAGAGACCCCAGAAATAAATTCACACACCTAAAGCCAACTGATTTTTGACAAGGTGCCAAGAACACACAATGGGTAAAAGAGAATCCCTTCAAAAAATGGTGCTGGGAAAATTGGACATTCACATGCAGAAAAATGAAACTAAACACTTATCTCTCATTATCATATACAAAAACCAACTTAAAATGTTTAAGACTAAAATATAAAACCTGAAACTATGATGCTACTGGAAGAAAACAGAGGCCAAACATATCATGACATTGGGCTGGGCAAGGAGTTTTAAAATAAGACCTCAAAAGCACAGACAACAAAAGCAAAAATAGATAAATGGGATTACATCAAATTAAAACTCTTTTGCACAGAAAAGAAAAACCAGAGTGAAGAGACAATCTACAAAATGGAAAAAAAAAAAAAAAAAAAAACTTGCAAACTGTCTGGATATTAACCTCCCAAGGGATTAATATCCAGAATATATAAGAAACTTAAACAACTCAACAGAAAAAAAAACATAATAATAATAACCCTACTTAAAAATGGGTAAAAGACTTTAATAGACATTTCTCAAAAGAAGACATACAAATGCTCCACAGGTACAGAAAAAATGCTCAACATCACTAATCATCAGGGAAATGCAAATCAAAACCACAGTGACAGCCGGGCACAGTGGCACATGCCTGTAATACCAGCACTTTGGGAGGCCAAGGTGGGCAGATCACTTGAGGTCAGGAGTTCAAGACCAGCCTGGCCAATGTGGTAAAACCCTGTCTCTACCAAAAATACAAAAATTAGCCAGGTGTGGTGGTGCATGCCTGTAGTCCTAGCTATTCAGAAGGCTGAAGCAGGAGGATTGCTTAAACCTGGGAGGCAGAGGCTGCAATAAGCAAAGATTGTGCCACTGCACTCCAGCCTAGGTGACAGAGCGAGACCTTGTCTCAAAAACAAACGAACAAACAAACAAACAGTGAGATGCCACTTCGCTCAAATTAGAATAACTATTATCAAAGAAACAAAAAACAAACAAAACACATTGACAAGGATCTGGAGAAAAGGGGACACTTACATACTGTCTGTGCTATTGTAAATTGGTAAGCCATTATGGAAAACAGTGTGCCAGTTCCTCAAAAAATTAAAAATAAAAATACTACATGATCCAACAATCTCCATACTAAGTATAGAGTCTAAGGAAATGCAATCAATATGTCAAAGAGATATCTGCACTCCCCTGTTTACTGCAGCATTATTTACAATAGCTGAGATACGGAATCAACGTAAGTGTCCAAAAATGGATACATGGATCAAGAAAATGTGATGTTCATACACGATGGAGTACCATTCAGCCATAAAAAAGAAGAAAATCCTGCCAGGCGCAGTGGCTCACGCCTGTAATCCCAGCACTTTGGGAGGCTGAGGCGGGTGGATCATGAGGTCAAGAGATCGAGACCATCGTGGTCAACATGGTGAAACCCTGTCTCTACTAAAAATCCAAAAAATTAGCTGGGCGTGGTGGCGCGTGCCTGTAATCCCAGCTACTCAGGAGGCTGAGGCAGGAGAATTGCCTGAACCCAGGAGGCGGAGGTTACAGTGAGCCGAGATCGCGCCATTGCACTCCAGCCTGGGTAACAAGAGCGAAACTCCGTCTCAAAAAAAAAAAAAAAAGAAAAAGAAGAAAATCCTGACATTTCTGACAATGTGAATGAACCCAGAGAACATCATGTTAAGTAAAATAAGCCAGACAGAAAAAAACCTGCATGTTCTCACTCATGTGGAATCTTTGTTTTAAAAGTTGATGTCATAGAAGCAGAGAGTAGAACAGCCATTACGGAGATGAGAGAGGGAAGGAGGGAAGGGAAGATGAGGAGAGGTTAGTCATTGGGTACAAAGTTACAATTAGATAGGAGGAATAACCTCAGGTGTCCTATTGCACAGTGGGGTGACTGTGGTTAACAGCAAGGCATTCTAAGCTGGGCACAGTGGGTTGAGCTTAGAATCCTAGTTATTTACAAGACTAAGTCAGGAGGATTGCTTGAGCCCAGGAGTTTTGTTTTGTTTTGTTTTGTTTTTGTTCGTTTGTTTTTTGTTTTTTTGTGAGACGGAGTTTCGCTCTTGTTACCCAGGCTGGAGTGCAAAGGCACGATCTCAGCTCACCGCATCCTCCGCCTCCTGGGTTCAGGCAATTCTCCTGCCTCAGCCTCCTGAGTAGCTGGGATTACAGGCACGTGCCACCATGCCCAGCTAATTTTTTGTATTTTTTTAGTAGAAACGGGGTTTCACCATGTTGACCAGGATGGTCTCGATCTCTTGACCTCGTGATCCACCCGCCTCAGCCTCCCAAAGTGCTAGGATTACAGGCTTGAGCCACCGCGCCCGGCTAGAGCCCAGGAGTTCAAGACCAGCCTGGGCAACATGGTGAGATCCCATATCTAAATCAATCAATCAATCAATCAATAAGGTGTTATATATTATAAAATAGCTAGAAAAGAGGCTTTTAGAGGTTCTCACCACAAAAAAATGATACATGCATGAAGTGATGGATAAACTGACTACCCCGATTTGATCATTATACAACACATATATGTATTGAAACATCAAATTATATCCCCAAAATATGTGCAATTACGAAGTATCAATTAAAAATAACAAAGAAATTTCTGGAATACCAAAAAAAAAAAAAAGGCATTGCTTACTCATGCATGTATACTGTCTCCTTTTAATACTGTTGAATTTTTTAAATAATAATAATTTAAATATTCACTTACATTTTTATTATCTGTCTTTCCTTCACTGGACTTTTAGCTCCCTGGAGAGCAGATTTTGTCTCTCTTGTACACAGGCTGCATCCTCAGCCCCCAGTTCAGTACCCAGTACAGTAAGCACATAGTATGCCCTCAATAAATATTGCCTTGTTCCTGAAGCCATAGACATTAGCCTCTGATGTCTGTGGTAGAGATGGAGGGGCTGGTAAAGAAGAGAGAAAAGCAAAGTTGACTCAAGGCTCCAATCCTGAATTCCCAGAAGAGCACTATGGCCATTCCTCCAAATGGGAATTCAGGAGTAGGAGCTCCTGGAGAAGGCTGGGAAAATGAGCTTAGAAACATGCATGCTCAATGTGAGGTCCAAGGGCTAAACAGAGGTAGGATATCTAGCGGACTGTTAATGAGATGGGCTCGGGCATGTCATTCATTGGCCCAGAAAATGTTTCTCAAGTTCACCGTATATCAGGTCAGGGGCTGAGGATATAAAGTTGAATAAAACAGGGTCTCTGCCCCCCAAGAATTCAGAGATGAGTGGGCCAGAGATGGCAACTTTGGAGACATTTTCATGGAAGCACCCGTGGCCTCTAGGTACAGCTAAAGCTGTCAGGAGGGTGGCGTGTGGCAGAGATAGAAGGGAAGCTGTTAGAGCAGTGGCAAAGAGAATGCCAAAGAGAGCACATAGGTGCTCAGGACTGATAAATAAACAAACGAACAAAGAAAAGGCCCCCATGCTTTTGTCCATGCTATTCCCTCTGCCCAGCACATCTCTCACCTGATTTTTGCCTAACTGCTATTTGTTATTTCTAGAAGCCTCCTCTGATCCTTCAAATCTGGGCAAGGTACTCATCCTGCATGTTCCCATTAACACCTATACTTCACAATGTGCACTTACCAGCTGGAGATGCCCTTCTCTGTCTATTTGTTTGTCTATACTTCTAGCTTGTAAGCAACCTGAGGGCAAGAACTCTGTCTTTTTTAAATTCTGTATCTTTCTTTCCAGATCCATGCTGGTATTCAATACAAGGTTTTTGGGTGGGTGGGTAGATGGATGGATGGATGGATGGATAGATGGGTGGATAAATGGATAAACAGATAAACAGGAAGGTAGGCAGATGGAGGAACAGGTTCATAGATGAAACAACTTAGAACTCTCACCCTTACCAAAGGTGTTGAATGCGAGTAAAATAAATAAATAAATAAAATGAATTAATTAAAAATGGAAGAATAAAATAGCTCTCACCTTGGGACCAATGTTTTCAGATGATTACACAAAGACTGAATATACCAGCTGCCTTCCTGCACATCCCGAAAGGATACATAGCCTGGGACAGTGGCCAGACCAAGCAGGAAGTCAGCCTCGACGGGAATACTGTCCTGCAGTATTCCCTGCAGGGAAGTGGGCTGCTGCTCAGGGTTCAGAGCATCTGCTTCAATGGAGACAGAAGGCTGTATCTCATCACCCTGGCAGGCCTGGATGAAAAAGAGTTTAGGTTTGTCAGCCAGTCCAGGGCACTGCCGGGCTGTGAAGTGAGACATGATCTCCCGAATGGGAATGAGGGCCTCATCTGAAGAGTAGACAGCTCCAAATTTCCCATGGGTCAGAATACAGAACACAAAGCAGTCCCCATTGACATGGTCTGGATTGCACTTCTGCTCCTGCAGGACCTCCTCCATGCGCCCCTTCGTCACATTGTCGTATTTGCACACTGTGAACCCAAGCCAGGTGAACACACACTTCAGGATCTCTGTTTTAAAAGAGAGAGAGAAACGGAAAATAATAAAATGAAGCAAAACAAAATGAGAAACTAAAACAAGGCTGGACATGGTGTCTCACTGTAATCCCAGCACTTGGGGAGGCCGAGGCAGGAGGATCACTTGAGGTCAGGAGTTTGAGACCAGTCTGGCCAACATGGTGAAACCCCACCTCTACTAAAAATGCAAAAATTAGCCAGGTGCTGAGATTGCACTGCTGCACTCCAGCCTAGGCAACAGAGTAAGACTGCCTCAAAAAAAAAAACAAAAAAAAAAAAAAAACAGAACTGAAACAATGCTAATCGTTACAAAAATTGCACAGCAAAAGGCCTAAAGCTTTGAATTACTTTTCTTTTCTTTTTTTTTTTTTTTTGAGACGGAGTCTTACTCTGTCGCCAGGCTGGAGTGCAGTGGCACGATCTTGGCTCACTGCAACCTCCGCCTCCGGGGTTCAAGCAATTCTCCTGCCTCAGCCTCCCGAGTAGCTGGGACTATAGGCGCACATCACCACGCCCAGCTAATTTTTGTATTTTCATTAGAGATGGGGTTTTATCATGTTGGCCAGGATGGTCTCTATCTCTTGACCTCGTGATCTGCCTGCCTCAACCTTCCAAAGTGCTGGGATTACAGGTGTAAGCCACCGCAACCGGCCATTTTTATTTTCATAAAAATAAAATCTTACAATGAATCTCTTATCATGTAATAGCCAGTGTTGTCACAACAGTCCTGAGAATCGGCAGTGGCCAATGTTTCATCCTGTTCCACAGCTGAAGACTTTAAGCCGAGGTCTCTCGACTCTCCAACCATCACAAACCTAGGTAGTGGTGGAGCTGGAGCTCACACCCAGGTTTTCTCATGTCAATCCAGCATGCTCTCCCCAGTACATGCTCTCACCTATTCAGAGTTGTAAACAGTCAGAAATTCTTCCTACTCTTTAGCAGATTGATGATGCCCCAGGGATATACAAGAGGCTCAGAAACATGATATCATCCTTACATGTATATGAAAGATAAAAGTCACAGAAAGAAAATGTGAAAATAAAAAATATTTTTAAGATCCCCAATTTGCATTCGATAAACTATTCCATACTTTCTTACCAGCATCTTTACAGGTTCCTCGTCTATCCCTCAGGGAGGTAAAGCTGTGGTTGTTGACAATGACACAGTGGCCTCTGTGCTTCCGATTCATCCTGTACACAGCTGCACCCTTGAAGAACAGATAGAACCACTGAGTAGGGATCCTCATCTCAGGGCCTTAAATGTTTCTAACTAACCACTCCAATGGTGTCCATTGTGAGGAAGAGCAGGATGTATCTCCTCGTGCCATGGTTGTTTAAACCATGGTTTTTGGGTTTTTGGAGGTTTTGGGTTTTTTTGAGACAGAGTCTTCCTTTTGTTGCCCAGGCTGGAATGCAGTGACACCATCTCAGCTCACTGCAACCCTCACATCCCACTTTCAAGGGATCCTCCTGCCTCACCCTCCCAAGTACCTGGGATTACAGGTGCCTGCCACCATGCCCAGATAATTTTTGTATTTTAGGTAGAGGCAGGGTTTCACCATGTTGGCCAGGCTAGTCTCAAACTCCTCAAGTGATCCATCCACCTCAGCCTCCCAAAGTGCTGGAATTACAGGTGTGAGCCATCATGCCTGGCCAAAACCATGTTTCTATACTCTAGTCTAAACCCTTGGAATATTTATGCCACGTTATTTCTAAAGTCACATATTGAAAGACTAGGAATTCTGACCACTCTGCAACTCAGTTTTACTGCACAATGGTGATCTCAATAAAATTTCAAAGATTCTTTTTTAAGTCCTAGAGCCCAGGACAAAGGATAAATTTCATTTGCACTAAAGATCAGACACTTCCTTTTTTACAAGATGCCACTCCCCCATATCAGAGGCAGAGAGTTCTCAAGATCCTGGCCCTGGCTGGGTGCAGTGGCTCACACCTGTAATTCCAGCCCTTTGGGAGGCCAAGGTGGGTGGATCATGAGGTCAGGAGTTCAAGATCAGCCTGGCCAATATGGTGAAACACTATCTCTACTAAAATTACAAAAATTAGCTAGGCATGGTGGCGCATGCCTGTAATCCCAGCTACTTGGGAAGCTGAGGCAGAAGAACCGCTAGAACTCGGGAGGCGGACATTGCAGTGAGCCAAGATTATGCCACTGTACTCCAGCCTGGGTGACAGAGTAAGAATCTGTCTTAAAAAAAAAAAAAAATACTGGCTCTAGTGTGGAATTAGCTAATTAATTCCAAGGAAGAATACCACGTCCTGATAAAATCAGACTTTTCCTAGTTTGACTGGAGAAGCTCAGTTATGAAAGTTAAAAAATGGAATATGTATTGTAATATTGTCAAACCCAGGGTTTATGCAAAATCATCTTCATTTTCATATTAGCAACATGAACGAAGAAAGCATATGTAAGGGTTTCATGAGACAACATAAATATCAAAGATTTTTTTCAGATGGTATACTTCTGGAGTGACCTAATGCCTTCAAAAAAAGAGTAATCTCTTGTGTAATTTTATTTCTCAATATAAAAATAATATACAAGCTGGCATGGTGGTACTCAGGTGGCTGAGGCAGGAGAATCCTTTGAGCCTAAGAGTTCAGGACAACCCTGGGCAACATAGCGAGACTGCCATCTTTATATATAAATATAAATATATACATATTCACAGTAGGAATTTAAAAATATGCGCAATTATTTCTGAAGACTGTTGTAAACAGCATGTGATTGCAAATTAGCTGAGCTGACTTTAGCAGAGGCTCTGTGGAGCTAAAATCATCCTTGAAATCATGGTACATCTTTATCCAAGCAGAAAATAGGTGACTTCAGTGGATAAGAAAAGAAAGTTCCCCTTTCCAGAAATAACCCAAAGGGTATGCATGACTCAAAGTGCAACAGCATTTCCTCCATAGTCAAAGGTATCAATCACTTCTGATTGATACAGAAAGAGGTGGGAAGAACAGAAGTAATTACAGAGAGAGGGAGAAACACATCAGAAATAAACTGCTCTGAGCCCTCAAAGTCATCAAAGGCCGGACCCTAGGGAGAGAGCACCTAAAGAAACCATCCTTTTGATTGTATTGGAAAAACATTTTTTTAATTAAAAAAACAAGAAGAAAAACCATCCAGACCTTTGTGCTGGTTTCAAAATTGGGAGGGTCAGCAGATGCTCCTTGCATCCCTGTGGAGACCAGGCTTGGTGCACCATTTGTGGCTCTGTTACCTAGAAAGAGAGGTACTCAGACTCCAAATATCTTCCCCAAGCACTTAGATTTCCTCACTAATAATTTTCTGACATCGAATCTAATTCTGGAGAATTATTTTTATCTCAAGGCCCTCCTCAGACAAATTCAGCCACCATGCCCTTCCTAATAGGAGAGGCTGATGTGTCTTTGCATTTCTTTTTGCTTTGTCCAAGTTGGAAACTATGCTGCTGGCAGGGATGGGGTGGGGAATTAATTAAAATCCCATGGATCGGCTTAAGAATTCCAGCTCAAGCATTGTTGGGTTGGGTAGGCATTTATCTGTTACTGGATACAGAGGCTAGGTGGACCTTGAGAAGAAAAAAGAGGGAGGCTGGATGTGGTGGCTCATGCCTGTAATCCCAGCACTTTGGGAGGCCAAGACAGGCAGATCATCTGAGCCCAAGAGTTCAAGACCAGCCTGGAAAACTTAGTGAGACCCCCATCTCTAGAAAAAAAGATATAAAAAGTTATCTGGGCATGGTGACACACACCTGTAGTCCCAGCTTCCTGGCACGTTGAGGTGGGAGGATCACCTGAGCCCAAGAAATCAAGGCTGCGGTTCACTGCGATTGTACCACTGCACTCCAGCCTGGCAACAGAGTGAGACCCTGTCTCAAAAAGAAAAAAGAAAAAGAAAAAGAAAAAAGAGGAGAAAAAGAAGGTTCCAGTTTGGCATCAGCTGAGGATCATACTTCTTTGAAGTGTTCCTGCAAACTCCCTGATTCTTCTGGAAAACACTCTATCACAGAGAGAAGGTCAGGGATGGGTTATTTGTCACGTGGCACTAACAGGGAATTGCAACATGAAACAGTTTTCTTTTTCCTCTTGCAGAAAGTTTGTAGAATCCACCACACTCTATCCTTATCTCTGGGGCATGAGTTAGTTATTAACTACTGCTAAGGATCACTCCTCAGGCTTGGCTCAGGCTGAACAAGTCCATATTCTCTAGACCAGAAAATACAGCAAAAGGGATCCAAGCTGCAGTGGCTCAAGCACCTATAAATTCCTCCTCACCATGGGAGAAGGTAACACTCCAGGGGAAGCCACGTCTAAATGTTGGAAGCCATGCAGAATTGTAAAGCTGAAAGAAACTGCCTTATTCCTCAGAGGGGTGAAGCAGTCGCCTGAGCTCACATAGCAGACAGCAGGAGCTCCTGGACTTAGGAGGGCTAGCTCTGGAACCAGACTCAGACTGTTGGGTTCAAATCCCAACTTCACTTCTTTTTAGCTGCAGTGCCTTTTAGCTGCAGTGCAAACAAAGCGCTAGAATTCATGGGTCTTGGTTTCCTCACTGGTGAGAATAACACTACTATAGTGATTGGAGGATTAAATGACATACTCCCTGGAATCTCTCTCAACAGTGCCTGGTACGTGACAAGTGCTTCATAATGGTAACCTAGTCAATGTTATCGACATCATAGCACACCACCTCCATGTTAGGCAAAATGACAGATGGCTAGCAAAGTTGTATGTCTTTAGGTTGTATGTCTTTAACTCTAAAGGTTAATTTTCCAGAAAAGAAAAATGAGGAATGGGCTGTGACAAACTCTACATACCACAGAAAGACTTCACCGAAGCCTGTTTGTTCATAAGCAGTTTAGCCCAATGGCAGATTCTGGAATACTTTCCTAAGGTTATGGTTTCTGGGCACGGATTCAGGGAACTAAACACACCATCATCAGGTCCCTCCTCATTTCTTCTCTCCCTCTGAATCAACATCTGGAACCACTCCATAGAGGACACCCACCCAGACTACACATTCCACCGTCAGTGCTGGCCTGAAGGCTTCAGCCCTGGTGGGGGCTGTTTCTGCTACACAGAGAGTGACCTAATTCTGAAGGGTAGAGGGAGAGCAGCTGTGTGCAGTTCCTAGAATCTGCTACACTAGGCATTCAGAGCAGAAACCACCCAGCCCTCTCCAGACTGCCATAGAAAAGCCTAGTGTAATCCATGCATTCAATGCCTTGCGTTGAATTGGAATAAAAAATGAATTCTCCATTATCTGTAAACCTTCTCTTCCAAGTCACCTGAAATTCCTTCATATATATCAAATATATCTATCCCTGCCATACTGATCTAAGTTGTAAAAAGTATATTAGAAACACCTACCCCCACTCCTTGCATGCTTATTTTGCCAGGACTCCCCCTGTTGAGAAAACAAACAAACGAAAAAATCCATGAAACGTAGGAAATTCACACAGTTGGATGCGGAACAAAAACTAGACTTGATGAAGGGGAGGACAGGTCTCTAATCCCCAGCCACAGAAAAGGTCATTGGCAGGAGATGGGAGGAGAACCAGCTCTCTCCATCCAAAAGAGAAAGTTCACAAAGACGCACTGGCAAAAACAGAGCGTGACATATGCTCAAGGGTATCCATTCATTGCAGCATTATTTGCACTAAGGACTGAAAATAGCCTCATGTCCACCAACAGGAAGCGGCTGAAAAAACTACGATATGTCCACAAGTGGAGTGAGATGCCAAGGACAGTCTCTATACACTTCTCCAGGGGGTACTGTCACATGGAGAAAGGAAAATGAAATGGTATTTGTGTACACTGCCTCTTATGTAATAAAGAGAAGATATGGGTCGGACTTTTTTCAAAAGTTATCATAGGATAAATCAAAAAACAAATAAAAATGGTAATTGAGGGGGAAGGAGAGGCAAGGATGCCATATAGACTACTTTGAGCATACAAAATTAAAACAAAGTGTAGGACCCTGCCTTTTTTGCATCCTCCTCCCCATTCACCACCACTCCCTTCCCCCTATGACCCTCAGCCATCAGCCTGCAGCAGAAAGTCCCCGAGGAAACCTGAGCAAGGTGCTGGGGAAGGGCTGGCCCTGACCTGTGTGAGGGAACTGACAAATCACTCCCAAGTTCCTGGGAATGCCTCCCTGCTGGAGCCCCCAGGCTTCTGGGCTGCACAATACTATAATTTGCCAGCTCTGGCCAGGGGTGGTGGCTCACACCTGTAATCCCATTTGGGCGGTTAAGGTGGGTGGATCATGAGGTCAGGAGTTCAAGACCAGCTCGGACAATATGGTGAAACCCCATATCTACTAAAAATATTTTAAAAATTAGCCAGGAGTGGTGGCACATGCCTGTAATCCCAGCTACTTGAGAGGCTGAGGCAGGAGAATCACTTGAACCTGGGAAGCAGAGGTTGCAGTGTGCTGAGATCGCATCACTGTACTTCAGCCTGGGCAACAGAGCAAGACTGTCTCAAAAAAAAAAAAAAAAAAAAAAAAAAATTCCCAGCTCTGGGGAAAACAAATGCAAAAGAGGCTTAGCTTAGTTTCACTCTCCAAAAGGCTTCCTGCCTTTCTTTTCTCAAGCTGCTGTTCCCTTCCTGCAAAATCCTAGATTCCTTCCAAGTGGCCGACAAAGGCTTGGCCAGGCTGCCTTCTGGTTTTGTCCAGTACTTGAGTGAGTCTTCTGGGACTAACGGCAATGCAGACACAGCAGCAGGCTCTGCCCAGCCCCTGCAGACCTTAGCTTTCCTTGATTTGTTCTTTCCTTGGCTGATAAAGTCAGCCAGAACAGGGACTAGAAAAAAGCTTTAAGGTCTAGTCTGCCTTTCTTCTCCTGAGAATGTTGCATCCTCTGCTGACACCTCTCAAGTATCTATGTCAAAGAGGAATGAATAAACGAATGTCCCACAGCCTGGCCACACTCAGTCATCTTTCAACTTCTTTTGATTGTTTTCAAGAGGCGTCCAATAAAGCCTTATTAAGAAGAAAGTGTTAGGTCTCCCCCAACGAGAGGCATGCCTCTCCTTAAGAAAACCTTATGTCACACTTAAAAATATCTACTTGGCCGGGCGTGGTGGGTCATGCCTGTAACCCCAGTACTTTGGGAGCAGAGGTGGGAGATCACCTGAAGTCAGGAGTTCAAGACCAGCCTGGCCAACATGGTGAAACCCTGTCTCTACTAAAAATACAAAAAATTAGCCAGGCATAGTGGCGGGTACCTTTAATCCCAGCTACTCGGGAGGCTGAGGTAGGAGAATCACTTGAACCTGGAAGGCAGAGGTTGCAGTGAGCCAAGATCACGCGATTGTACTCCAGCCTGGGCAACAAGAGTGAAACTCCATCTCAATTTTTATATATATATATATATATATATATATATATATATATATATTTTTTTTTTTTTAATTTTTCAACAAATTAGGAGATGTTGCTTAAAATTCAATGAGACTTTCTTCTCATTGAGCCCAATAAAAATTTTTTTTTAATCTTCAGGTGCTTAAGAAACATGAGATGTTTCACCAAGTTGTATTTTATTCATCACTTGATGGAGAGAGGAAGGGCTGCCCAGATAACTTTTAAGACACCTTCCAACCCTAAGAGTGTGTGAAAACATGTGAGGTCCCGCGCCCCATTCCTCCCGCACCTCCAGCACTGCCACAACTATCCCAGCACTGCATGTGCTGTGACCAGAGTCATCCCATGTCAGCAGAACCACATTGCTTCAGAGGCGACAGCTGAGCCATGCACCTTTAGAAACCACTGGATTTCTCAAAGACAAAGAGCAGAAGTGTGTGTGTGTGTGTGTGTGTGTGTGTGTATATGTGTGTGTGTGTGTGTGTGTGTGTCTACATGCACATCAGTATCTGAGCACAAACCTACTTGAAAAAGTGGGTTGGGAGAGTTAGGTTTAGCAGGCAATTTAACTTAGAATTGGGGAATCCTAAATTGTTAGTGCTGGAAAACCACATTTTAAAGAACTTCCGGAATGGCCAGGCACAGTGGCTCATGCCTGGAATCCCAGCACTTTTGGAGGCTGAGGAGGGTGGATCACCTGAGGTCAACATAATGAAACCCTGTCTCTACTAAAAATACAAAAAAAAAATAGCTGAGCATGGTGGCGCACACCTGTAATCCCAGATACTAGGAAGGCTGAGGCACAAGAATCATTTGAACTCAGGAGGCGAGGTTGCATTGAGCCGAGATTGCGCCATTGCACTCCAGCCTGGGCAACAGAGCAAGACTTCATCTCAAAAAAAATAATAAAATGAAATAAAATTTAAAAATAAAGAGCTTCTGGGGGAGTGGGGAGTGGGGAGTGGGGAGGGGTTTGCAACTCTCTAAACAAAGTTGTGCCCAGGGTCCGGGAGTTGGCCCATAAATGTCCGTTTAATTGGATTATAGTAAAAGAATCAAGGGGCGCAGCCTCTCTCCATCAATACCTCAATTAGACGTCTAAGCGCTTTTCTGGGACTGGAATTAATTAAATCAAGGGCTATTTTCCTAGAGAAAAGAAGCCAATTTAGGCTTTTATAAATAATTGCAATTTTGTGTTATTTCCCTTTGGGGGAGATACGGAATTCAAATAAACTAACAGCAAGCAGGCGGAGGTGTTTCTTTTAATTAAGGATGAACTTAATCTCTTAAGATCACTTACAAGGTGCCCTCCCAAAGCTGAGATTCCCTCAAATGCCTAAATACCTCCACCTGCCGAATCAGCTTCAGGGCAAGAGCCACAGAGCAAACCTCCCTGCTCTGTGTCCCTCCTAGCTGCCTGCACAGTCTTCAGGTGGAGCATTTGCCCAGCCTTTGCCAAACTCCAGGAGCTACAGGTCATCTGGCCAGTTTCCACTGTCTCCTTTATTTAAAAAAGCAAAAACACCTTCCTGGGGAGACAGGAGGGTCCTTCTTTACAGTAGAATGCTGAGAGCCAACTTACAAACGTGGAGAGAACACTGGAGTCAGAAAAGCATTGCTTTACAACCAACATAGCAAATGCTGGATCACACAAGAATCATCAGTGAACACTCAATGTAGGGGAAACTTCTCATGTGCAGCAGGATATTTACAGAACCTTAAAATATCTCTCCAGCACTTGCTTATTAATTGTGTGGGGGGAAAATAGTAACTATATAAAAATTAACTATGTATAGAATGAAGATATCAGAAAATGTCTTGACCAAACAATCAAAATTAGCATCACGAACTGGGGGGCAGATGGACATCTTGTGCCTCCAAATGGGATGCCCTGAGAAAAACACATCACTTCTGTCATATTCTGGCTAGAATGTATGTCTTGAATCTAACTGTGAAGAAACACCACACGTACCAAAGATTTAAAAAATCCTACTTAATGAAAGGTGGGAGAGTGACTGCATTCTTCAAAAGTCTCAATGGCGGCTGGGTGCGGTGGCTCTTGCCTGTAATCCCAGCACTTTGGGAGGCTGAGGTGGGTAGATCACAAGGTCAGAAGTTCAAAACCAGACTGGCCAACATGGTGAAACCCCCTCTCTACTAAAAATACAAAAATTAGCTGGGCATGGTGGCATGTTCCTTTTATTCCCAGCTACTCGGGAGGCTGAGGCAGGAGAATTGCTTGAACCAGTACCCAGGAGACAGAGGTTGCAGTGAGTCAAGATCACGGCACTGCACTCCAGCCTAGGCTACAGAGCAATACTCCATCTCCAAATAAATAAATAAATAAAGTCTTGATGGCATAAAAGAGGAAATTAAATGGCATAAAAGCTGTGGAAACGTTCAAGATTAAAGGAGACGAAGCGGGGTGCGGTGGCTCACGCCTATAATCCCAGCACTTTGGGAGGCTGAGACAGGCAGATCACTTAGGTCAGGAGTTTGAGACCAGCCTGGCCAACATGGTGAAACCCCATCTCTACTAAAAATACAAAAATTAGTCAAACGTGGTGGCACATGCCTGTAATCCCAGATACTTAGGAGACTGAGGCACAAGAATTGCTTTAACCCAGGGGGTGGAGGTTGTAGTGAGCTAAGATCATGCTTTAACCCAGGGGGTGGAGGTTGTAGTGAGCTAAGATCATGCCACTGCACTTCGGCCTGGGAGACAGAGGGAGACTCCATGCCCCCCCACCCAAAAATAAAAATAAAAATAAAAAAAGAGCAAAGGAGACTAAAGGATCATGACAACTAAATACAATATTGCATTGTATTATATCGTAGTTTTAATTTTTATTATTTTCTTTTAGAGAGGATCTCACTATGTTCCCCAGGCTTGCCTCAAACTCCTGGTCTCAAGGAGTCCTCCCACTTCAGCCTCCCAAAGTGCTAGGATTACAGGTGTGACCCACTGTACCCAGCCTTGTGTTGTATTTACATATGATCCTAGGTAGAATTTTGTGCTGGATGGTTTAAGAACTGTCAAGGACATTACTGGGTTCAACAGAAAAAATTGGAATATGGACCATTGATTTGATGAAAAGTATTATATTAACATAACTTTCCTGGTTTTGATAATTGTATTATAGTTCTGTAAAAGAATATCCTTGTTATTAGGAAATACACACCAAAATATTTAGGAGTAAAGGGCCATGATATATGCAACTTACTCTCAAAAAGTTCAGAAAAAAAATTTGGGTGTGGAGAGAGACAGAGAAAAAGAGCACAAGCATGAGTGAATGCACAAAAATAATAAAGCAAATGGGGTAAAACATCAACAACAGGTAGGTGAATCTAGGAAAACAGTACATAGGTGTTCTTTGTATTATTCACATGTTTGTAACTTTTCCATAAAATTGAAATTATTTTTAAATCTAAAAATCGTAACTAAAAATATGAGACCATGACAGCAGTAAAGAAGCCATAAAACAATTTTTAAGAATAAAAAATAAAGGCCAGGCATGGTAGCTCACACCTGTAATCTCAGCAATTTGGGAGGCCAAGGCAGGGAGATCACTTGAGGTCAGGAGTTCGAGACCAGCCTGGCCATCTTAGTGAAACCCTGTCTCTATTAAAAAAACAAAAATTAGCCAGATGTGGTGGTGCACACCTGTAATACCAGCTATTTGGGAGGCTGAGGCAGGAGAATCACTTGAACCAGAGAGGTGAGCCAAGATTGTGTCACTGCACTCCAGCCTGGGTGACAGAGTGAGACTCCATCTCAAAATAAATAAATAAATAAATAAATAAATAAAATAAAACTTCTACAAACAACCCAACTAGAAAATGAACAAAGGACTTAGACAGACATTTCTCTAACGAAGATATACAAATGGCCTAAAAGCACATGAGGCAGATGATCAACAAGCACAAAACCAAATCCTTGTGGTTTCGATTTGCATTTCCTTAATTTGCATCAAAACCACAAGGAATGGCTACTATCAAAATGAAAAGAAAATAGAAGGAAATCAAGGAAATGCAAATGAAAACCACAAGGATGGCTACTATCAAAAGAAAAGACTAGGTTTTGATGAGGAAGTGTTGCTGAGGACGTGGAGAAACTGGAACTCTTGTGCACATTTGGTGGAAATGTCAAACAGTACAGTCACTGCGTAAAATAGTATGAAGTTTCCTCAGAAACATTGAAAATAGAATGACTATATAATCCACCAAGGGTACATACCCAAAAGAACTGAAAGCCGTATCTCAAAGAGATATTTTTACACCAATATTCATAGCAGCGTTCTTAAAAATAGTCAAAAGGTGGCAGCAGCCCAAGAGTCCGTCAATGGACAAGCGGATAATAAAATGTAGTAGACTGAGTCCTCACTCAGAGTCATCCGTAGGTTCTTGGTAACTCCGACTTTCAGTGATACAATGAACTGTATGCTGTAGGAACTTAATTCTTAGGGAGTTTTTTGTTATTGTTTTTTGAGACAGGGTCCCACTCTGTCACCCAGGCTGGAGTGCAATGATGCAATCTCAGCTCATTGCAACCTCTGCCTCCCAGGTTCAAGCAAGTCTTGTGCCTCAGCCTCCTGAGTAGTTGGGATTATAGGTGCGCACCACCACACCCGGCTAATTTTTGTATTTTTAATAGAGATGGGGTTTTGGCCAGGCTGGTCTCGAACTCCTGGCCTTAAGTAATCTACCCGCCTTGGCCTCTAAAAGTGCTGAGATTACAGGCGTGGGCTACCACGCCTGGCCAATTCTTGTTTATATCAATTAGCCTATGATAAAATTGGTTTTATTATATGGTATGTGGCTGAGCATGGTGGTTCATGGCTGTAATCTTAGCACTTTGGGAGGGTAAGGCAGGAGGTTTGCTTGAGCCCGAGTTTGAGACCAGCCTGGGCAACAGAGTGAGACCCCATCTCCACCAAAAAATTTAAAAATAAAAATAAATACATTACACAGTATGCTGTCACTTAAAGTCAGTTTCCAAAAATCTATCAATGCTGTTAAGTGAGGATTTACTTTATATACACACAGCGGAATATTATTCAGCCTTTAGAAAGGAAGGAAATTCTGAGATACGCTGCAACTTAGATGAACCCTGAAGACTTTACATTAAGTGAAATAAGCTAGTCACAAAAGAACAAATATTGTATGATTCTACTTATATGAGATACCCTAAAGAATCTAATTTATATAGAGAGAAAGTAGAACAGTGGTTTCCAGGGATTGGAGGGAAGGAGAAAATGAAAAGTTATTATTTAATGGATACAAAGTTCTAGTAAAAGAAGATGAAAAAGTTCTGGAGATGGATTGTGGTAATGTCTACACAACCTACACAACAGTATGAAGGTAGTTAGCATTACTGAACTGTATACTTAAAAATGGTTAAGATGGTATATTTTGCTATGTGTATTTTACCGCAATTGAAAACAAAAAAAAAAAACAAAAAAATTTCCAAGACCAAGCTAACTTTATTGATGCTGACAGAGGTTGCAAAATCAAACTACCCAAGTCTGCTGGAAGAACCAGAAATCCCAGGGAAGACTGTCACATAGCTCCCAAGGATCATGATCACATTGTGAGGAACAGACTGCAAACTCTCCCAGCATTTCCCCTTCCACCCAACCTTTCAGAGCTGAGCACCCAGAAACCAGAAACACACTTCTTGTCCTCTGGGTTGCCCAGCTACATGCTTGGCAAACCTCTTGTTCAATAATACATTAAGAATTTCAAAGCAGTAACAGCAGAGCATTAAACAAAGGTCTGTATTTGAACTCTGGAATTACTGTCAGGTGCCCTGTACGCCGTAGATTTTATGTCTCTGAAGCTGAGTCTAATTGCATCCCACAGATAAGAACAGAGAAACCATTTCAAAACAACTCGGGGGTGTGTGGAGTAAGCTCAAACTAACTAGTGACAGCTCACACTAACTAGCTCTCACTAGTCAGCTAACGAGAGCCAATTGTTAAATTTTCAGAAAATGTGCACTCTGGTGAATATGTGGTTTACTTGAAATCATCATGGCAGGAGCATATGCAGCAAATGGTACAGACTGGGGCGTCTCTTTTTCTTTTTGGGGTTGGGGTTGGAAGGTGGAGCTGGTTGTTAAACAATGACCAGCACACCACTGAACCTACCGGTAAGGCTTCCAAGAATCTTTTAACTTCTGTTTGGGAAAACAGTTCTTCCTCTCCTTGATACAATGACTCAGCTTCCTTGTCTGCAGGAGATACTACTATCTGGGTAGCTAGAAATAAAATCACAAACAGAAAAACAAAAAATCACCTTCTGATTCATAGCAATCCAAAATAACCAGTCATCAAAAGCAGCCATGTAAAGTAATTATTTTGAAGAGAATTGTAAATTTTTTTTGAGATGGAGTTTTACTCTTGTTGCCCAAGCTGGAGTGCAAGGGAGCGATATTGGTCACTGCAAACTCTACCTCCTAGGTTCACATGATTCTTCTGCCTCAGCCTCCTGAGTAGCTGGGATTACAGGCATGCACCACCACGACCTGCTAATATTTGTATTTTCAGTAAAGACAGGGTTTCACCATGTTTGCCAGGCCGGTCTCAAACTCCTGACTTCCGCTGACCCACCTGCCTTGGCCTTCCAAAGTGCTGGGATTACAGGGGTGAGCCACCATGCCTGGCCTGAGAATTGTAAATTTCTAATTGAATTTGTTTGTGGAAGCCTACATATATACCCAGAAAAAAAGGGTAAATACATAAATTATTTTTATTCTTTGTATTGTTATATTTTCTATTGCTTTTATGTTTTTGTTACTTTTATAATTTTATGAGTGCCTTAAAATTACTATATCCTTTACTAAATAGTATTTTAAAACTTACTGTTGTTTTAAGCTGCTAAAAAAAAAAAAAAAAAAAAGTATGGTGCTTAATGTGCCAGATAATTGCCAAGTAGAGATTTCTAAAGCATTACCTCAAAAAATAATGTCAGAATTCAGGCTGTAATTGTCAGAATTCAGCAAAAAAAGAATGAGAAAAAAAGACAATTTATTTAAAAGTGGCAATTATATAAAAATGTTATATCTATAATATGATTTCTAAGAGACCAATAATAAAAATGGGCTGTATCTGTATTATTAATATATTCATTAAAATGTCAGCTATATTATGTGGGAGGGGAAAGCAAGTTATAGAATATAATTAGCATGGTCTTTGTTAAATATATATGTGTCTCTGTGTGTGTGTAATATCTATGTACACATACAATTGTTTCTAAATAGAAGAAAATCAATAACTACATATTTCAGACAGTGGTTATCTTTGGGAAATGGGTTGGTAATAGAGAAAAAAGAAAAGGAGAAAGAATTTTACCTTCTACATTCTATATTATTTTAATTATTTGAATTTGTATTTGATTTTATTATGTACCTTATTTTAATAATAAATTAAAAATACTACTCTAGGCACAGTGGCTCATGCCTGTAATCCCAGCACATTGGGAGGCCAAGGCAGATGGATCATGAGGTCAGAAGTTTAATACCAGCCTGGCCAAGGTGAAACTCCATTTCTACTAAAAAGGCAAAAATTAGCCATGTGTGGTGGTGTGTACTTGTAATCCCAGCTACTTAGGAGGCTGAGGCAAAAGAATTGCTTGAACCCGGGAGGCAGAGGTGGCAGTGAACCAAGATCACTCCACTGCACTCCAGCCTGGCAACAGAGCGAGATTCTGTCTCAAAATAAATAAATAAATAAATAACTAAAGCAAACACCAAGGCTCAAGAAAACTTAAAAAGTTAGCCAGGTGGTCCTTAAATAAAGCTACCTAGCTTGGACTTCGGATCGCACTTACAGAAAAGTCTAAACTCTGCATTCCTACTCTTTTCAGTCCTTTAGTCTTTCATCTTTATGGCAGAACTAGGCTCAAACTCTTAGGACTAAAGAAAGTAAATATTAAAATACCAATAATGAGTGACACCCAAAAGAGATCACATGCAGGCATGTTGTAGAAGAGAAAAATCAAATTTAGGGCCTGGTGCAGTGGGTATGCCTGTAATCTCAGCATTTTGGGAGGCCAAGTCTGGCTAATCACCTGAGGTCGAGAGTTCAAAATCAGCCTGACCAACATGGAGAAACCTTGTCTCTACTAAAAATACAAAAAATTAGCCAGGCGTAGTGGTGCATGCCTGTAATCCCAGCTACTTGGGAGGCTGAGGCAGGAGAATCACTTGAACCCGGGAGGCAGAGGTTGCAGTGAGTCAAGATTGTGCCATTGCACTCCATCCTGGGCAACAGAGTGAGACTCTGTCTCAAAAAATAAAAATTAAATTTAAAAATAAAGCTCAGTCTTCAACACTCACTGAGGCAAATGTAATCAACTACATAGAAACTAGTGTGTCTTCTTTTTAAATATCCAAAATAATATGACCACTTGCCCTGTATTTACTTTATATGGGATACAACATTACAGGAAAACGACAATTGGTTCAGAAAAAAACCTCAGAGCTAATGTGAAGATTCCAAATATTCTTTCCAAATCAACTTCTGCTTTTTATTTCTCATTTGATAATTGATGACAAAAAGACCTGTTTTATTCTTTATAACTTAAATTATGCATTTATTCATTGTTTTATTGTTTGAGATTTTATCAATTTAACAACAGTATATTTTGCGCCTCAACTCATTCTGTGTTAACCAAATTCTTACAGAGAAGTTTCCTCTTAGCTAGTTTAATTTTTTAACCAAAGAAATTTGCACACTAGAGTCACTCACTGAACTAAATTAAGGGTGTGGCATAAAAGTTTCATGAATATACTCAGGAGTTTTTATGTATAGCTCTTGTTTAACAGTAGAGAAATGGACTCGGAAAAACATAGATATTTAGCGTATTGACACATGGTGAGGCAGCCAGGTTTGACTTCTGTCCTGTATAAAATATCACAGCAGAACTACCTTTATCAGACAGACTTTAAAAAAAAAAAAAAAAAAAAAAAAAAGGCTAGGTGAGTTGGCTTACGCCTGTAATCCCAGCACTTTGGGAGGCCAAGGTGGGCAGATCACGAGGTCAGGAGTTAAAGATCAGCCTGGCTAACATGGTGAAACCCCATCTCTACTAAAAATACAAAAATTAGCCAGGCATGGTGGTGCATGCCTGTAATCCCAGCTACTTAGGAGGCTGAGGCAGGAGCATTGCTTGAACCCGGGAGGTGGAGGTTGCAGTGAGCTGAGATTGCCCCACTACACCCCAGCCTGGGTGACAGAGTGAGACTCTGTCTAAAAAAAAAAAAATAGCCACATGTATTGAACGCTTACTCCATGCCAGACAAGCATTTTACAGAAATTATTTCATTCAATCCTCACAAAAACCTATTATGTAGGTACTATCATTATGCCCACTTTACAGATGGGAAAAGTGAAACAGAAAAGCCAAAAAAATACCACCGCACCACGAGTAAGCGGAGTCCTGGCAACCTAACTCTATAGACTCCACTCTCACCCCGGGCTATCCTGCCTTCTTTTTTATGTCATTTCATTTAAAACAATTTCATACACTCTCATTCCTATATTAGAATCAGAAAAAGACATTTGTCTAAAACTATTTCCCTGCACTGGAATGTAAGTTCCAAGAGGGCAGGAGCTTTGCTCTGTACTTTGCTATATCCCCAGTTTCTTTTTTTTTTGAGACTGAGTCTCAGTTTGTTGCCCAGGCTGGAGTGCAGTGGTGTGATCTCGGCTCACTGCAACCTCTGCCTCGCGGGTTCAAGTAATTCTCTTGCCGCAGCCTCCTGAGTAGCTGGGACTGCAGTCACACACTGCCATAACTGGCTAATTTTTTGTATTTTTTTTAGTAAAGATTGGGTTTCATTGTGTTTCCCAGGCTGGTTTGGAACTCCTGAGCTCAGGCAATCCGCCGTTCTTGACCTCCCAAAGTGCTGGGGTTACAGGCATAAGCCACCGCACTCAGCCATCCTCAACTTCTAAAACAGTGCCTGGTACAAAATATGACCTCAACTAATGAACTCAATATGAACAAGGAGGGAGATTTCTGGCTTTTCTAGCAGAATATTATCAGAATGATGAGTAAATATCACGCACAGGCCTGGTGCGGTAGCCCACACTTGTAATCCCAGAACTTTGAAAGGCTGAGGCGGGTGGCTCACTTGACATCAGCAGTTCAAGACCAGCCTGGCCAACGTGGTGAAACCCTGTCTCTACTAAAAATACAAAAATTAGCCAGGTGTGGTGCCAGGTGATTGTAATCTCAGCTACTCAGGAGGCTGAGGCAGAAGAATCACTTGAACCTGGGAGGCGGAGGTTTCAGTGAGCAGAGATTGCACCACTGCACTCCAGCCTGGGTGGAAGAGTGAGTAAGTGAGTAAGACTCTGTCTCAAAAAAAAAAAAAAAAATCATGCGAGGCCAATTGGGTTAAGAATGTCCATGGTCTTGTGCAAGTTAGCAAGCACAAGCTACTTACCTTTCTCTCTTTTATATTTCTCTATGTTTCTCAAAAGTTTAGGTACAACCGTTTTGCAGAGGTCCTCCAGGTATTTCAGATTATTTTCATCTATTTTATCTTGTTTCTCTAGAAATGCCAGTAAACCTAGAGAGGTCTACAAGAGAATCGATAGAATTACAGTTACTTCCCTACTGATTATCCACTCACTCAAATGTTACCTGCATGGCCACGAGGCACTAGGTTTTGCACTGATAAATAAGATATGACAGCATCTGCCCTCACATGGCTCAGGAGTGTAGAGGAAGAAGCATTACCAAGCAAATATGTATACAATCTATATTAATACCAGATACCAAATATATAGAATTACACAGCAGGAGCCATGCTTGCTGTATATTAACATTACAACAACTGAATGAGTAGATGCTATTATAATCCTCACGTTAAAGATGAAGTAATTGAGGCACAGAGAGGTTCCAGTAACTTGCCCGAAGTCACAAAGCTAATAAACGGCAGAACTGATAAAATCTGATGCCAAAGTCTATCTCATTAACCACTGAACTCTAACTCACTGCTTTAGGTGATACTGATTAGGGAATCAGCAAAAGAGGAACACCAAAGAAATGAGGGGGACATGTTCTGAAAGAATTTTATATTTGGTGTTTTAAAAGAAAAAGAATTCTCTTAAAAAAAAAAAAATCGTAATTTGGGCCAGGTGCAGTGGCTCACACCTGTAATCCCAGCACTTTGGGAGGCCAAGGTGAGCGAATCACGAGATTAGGAATTTGAGACCAGCCTGGCCAACATGGTGTAAACCCCATCTTTATTAAAAATACAGAAATTAGCCAGGCATGGTGGCTGGGCCTGTAGTTTGAGCTACTTGGGAGGCTGAGGAAAGAGAATTGCATCAACCCATGAGGCAGAGGTTGCAGTGAGCAGAGATCGCCTCACTGCACTCCAGCCTGGTAACAGAGCGAGACTCCGTCTCAAAAAAAAAAAAAATCACAATTTGGCAAGTATTTTATTATTTTATTATTTTATTTTATTTGACAGAATCTCAGTCTTTTGCCCAGGCTGGAGTGAAGAAGTGAAATCTCAGCCCACTGCAACCTCCACCTCCAGAGTTCAAGCGATTCTTCTGCCTCAGCCTCCCGAGTAGCTGGGATTATAGGCACGTGCCATTACACCTGGCTAATTTTTGTACTTTTAGCAGAGACGGGTTTTTTGTTTTGTTTTGTTTTGTTTTGTTTTGTTTTTTTTGAGACGGAGTTTCGCTCTTGTTACCCAGGCTGGAGTGCAATGGCGCGATCTCAGCTCACCGCAACCTCCGCCTCCTGGGTTCAGGCAATTCTCCTGCCTCAGCCTCCTGAGTAGCTGGGATTACAGGCACAAGCCACCATGCCCAGCTAATTTTTTGTATTTTTAGTAGAGACGGGGTTTCACCATGTTGACCAGGATGGTCTCGATCTCTCGACCTCATGATCCACCCGCCTCGGCCTCCCAAAGTGCTGGGATTACAGGCTTGAGCCACCCCGCCCGGCTGGGGTTTTGTATTTTTAACAGTAAGTAATAGATTACTTACCCGCTGTTGGAAGAGGGCCTGAACACACCTCAGCCAAAACAGAAAGGTTCTAAATTCATATGATCTCTCTGGGGGAATACAAATAACCTTGCCTTTGTAGAGGATTCTGGGATTTCTCTTTGATAGCTTTCACAGAAACATAACCAGTATAGCTGGCCTACACACATCCTGAGAGATCTAACAACTGTCAGGAAATCCGTTCTCAGCATAGCAATCAGAATAGAATGCTGAGTTTAAAGGAAACCACACCTGAACCTACTAACTCTTTAGCAAAGAAACAGAACAAGAGCTTTCAGACCTTTGCTGCTAGTATTTGCCAGAGTGGTATTCTTAAACTAATGTCCAGGTCCCATTTAAATGTGTGTGTGTGTGATGTACTAAGCATCTAATAAACTTTTAGAAAGTATAATGAATTTCCATAATTACTTCTGGAATCACATCTTAGCTCCTTGTATTCCTCTTGGTAGGATGCTTCAAGACAGGAGTTTCTGGCTGAGCGGGGTGGCTCACACCTGCAATCCCAGCACTTTGGGAGGTCGAGGCGAGTGGATCACCTGAGATCAGGAGTTTGAGACCAGCCTGGCCAACATGGGGAAACCCCCATCTCTACTAAAAACACAAAAATTAGCTGGGTGTGGTGGCAGGCACCTGTAATCCCAGCTACTCGGAGGCTAAGGCTGGAGAATCACTCGAACTCAGGAGGTGGAGATTGCAGTGAGCTGAGATGGCGCCATTACACTCCAAACTGGACAGTAAGAGTGAACTCTGTCTAATAATAATAATAATTCTGTTGCCACAGTTGCCTTCAAGTAAAGTTCTAGAACCTATGCAAACAAAAGAGGAGAAAAAACATTTTCCAGCTTTTCTTATTTGAAAACTAACACTCAGTGTTGAGCATATCAGAGACTGCTTTAACAAATGACCTTTCTCTCATCTCTCACCCCCCACCTCATATTGTTCAGAGAGTTCTTAACATAGGATGGGGTATAAGAAAAAAGTGGTCTCATTTTGTTTATAAACCTAGACACTGGAACCTTTGTGAGTGGATGCCCTGACTTGGGAAATGTTATCAAAACCACCTGGAGAGCTTGTCAAACTGCAGGAATCTCCTCTGACTTTGAGAAATTCTGCATTTAAGGTATAATGCTGCCATTTTAGCAGGAAATTGCTTTGCACCCTGCCAACGTGGGCACTGAAATTTAATGGCAGAAACAGAATATCCTTACGAAGCTTTACATAAAAGTATTCCCTAAAACAAAATCCCGTTTTTAAAAATTCTCCAAGAATTATTAACCTTTAGGTCGTGTACGTGTGTGTGTGTGTGTGTGTGTGTGTGTGTGTACATATATATGTGTATGTGTATATATGTAGTGTATGTTAATATACATAAAAACTCAAAAGCAACGAGCATGCCAGCATCTAATTTGTGGTCTTGAAATGATCTCTCTCATTTAAAAAAACCAGGGCTTTTGGGAGAAATGAGAGATTCTAGAACTGGGCAGAAAATATGCAAGAGGAACCTGAAATATTTTTGCCAGATAGTAAAGAAGCCATCAAAGACTACTAAGGTCATGTCAGAATGACAGGAACCAAACTGAAGATGCATCCCCTGGAAAAAAAAATGGGACAACTGAACTTTTTTTCTTTCTTTCCTTTTTTTTTTTTTTTTTTTCCGGAGACAGGGTCTCACTCTGTTACCCAGGCTGGAGTGCAATAGCACAACCATTGCTCACTGCAGCCTTGACTTCTTCTCTGAGCTCAAGTGATCCTTTCACATCAGCCTCCTGAGAAGCTGGGACTACAGGTGCACGCCATCACGTCCAGCTAATTTCTGTATTTTTTGTAGAGACAGGGTTTTGTCATGTTGCCCAGTCTAGTGTCAAACTCCTGAGGCTCAAGGGACCTGTCTGTCTCAGTCTCCTAAAGTGCTGGGATTACAGGCATGAGCCACCATGCCTTGCCTCAATTCGAACTTCAGTAAGGATAATAATAGCAATAGATTGAAACACCTCATATATGTTTAATCCATGAGTTTAAATTTATATATATTTTGTAGTGGGTCACCTGCAGAGAATGATAAGAAACCAATTAACTTAAAAACTGGATGCCTAGACGGGGCACAGTGGTTCACACCCGTATTCTCAGCACCTTGGGAGGCTGAGGACAAAAGTTTGAGTCCAGCCTGGCCCACATAATGAAACCCCATTTCTACTAAAACTACAAAAATTAGCCAGGCATGGTGGTACATGCTTGTAATCCTAGATATTCAGGAAACAGGAAGGAAAATCACCTGAACCCAGGAGGCAGAGGTTGCAATGAGCCAAGATCACACCACTGCGCTCCAGCCTGGGTGATTGAGTGAGACTCCATCTCATTAAAAAGAAAAAAATGAAAAATGGGTAACTAAAAGAATCAAGGATTTACATATAAGCTGTATCACTGGGTAACCAAATAGTAGATGAGGGGAAAACGAAATGATAGAATTCTAATATCTGGCTGGGTGCAGTGGCTCACGCCTGTAATCTCAGCGCTTTGGGAGGCTGAAACGGGTGGATCACCTGAGGTCAGGAGTTTGAGACGGGCCTGGCCAACAAGGTGAAACCTCATCTCTACTAAAAATACAAAAGGTTAGCTGGACATGGTGACACACACCTGTAATTCCAGCTACTTGGGAGGCTGAGGGAAAAGAATCATTTGAACCCAGGAGGCAGAGGGTGTAGCGAACTAAGATCATGCCATTGCACTCCACCCTGAGTGACAAGAGCAAGACTCTGTTTCAAAAAAAAAAAAAAAAGAATTCTAATATCTCCATTTTTGCAACCCCTAAAAATTCAATATGTAAAACAGTTGCTAATATCAAAGAGAGAGAGAAAATCAGGTACCTCCTGATGAAAAAAAGACTACCTATAACCCTGCTAAACAAATCTGACCTGAATCTGATGAAACCTCTGGATTCAGCTGCCAGTCTGCAGGAAATGCAGAGGACAGAGGAACATGCCGAACTGTACCACAAGCGTGCAGTCAGCAAAACCCAGCCTGGGAGAAACTCCGCAGGCCAACCGCTGAGAGGTTCTTCAACGGATACATTTTAAGAAAAAGAAGGAGATTTGGGGGCAGGGAGGAAATGTAACCTATAGGTTAAAAGACGCTTGAAAGAGAAACTGATGCAGCTTATATGTAAATCCTTGATTCATATAATACAGGCACATGGCTCACTCCTGTAATCCCAGCACTTTGGGAGGCTGAGGTGGACAGATCACCTGAGGTCAGGAGTTTGAGACCAGCTTGGCCAACATGGTGAAACGCTGTCTCTACTAAAAATACAAAAATTAGCCAGTTGTGGTGGTGGGCACCTGTAATCCCAACTAATTGGGAGGCTGAGGCAGGAGAATCACTTGAACCCAGGAAGCGGAAGTTACAGTGACCCAAGATCACACCATCGCAGACCGTCTCAAGAAAAAGAAAGAAAGAGAGAGAGAGGAAGGAAGGAAGGAAGGAAGGAAGGAAGGAAGGAAGGAAGGAACAAAAGTAAATTTGAGGTCTAGGGAAGCCCAGTTAAGTGATAAAACCATAAAGAAACACATCATAATAATGCAGTTCCTTAAAAGCCAGGACAGCAGTCAGTTCTAAGGGCCAAGAAGGGGCCATGACTGGAATTGGGTAAATAGAGAGCTTTCTAAAGTAGCTAATAAAATTCTGTTTCTTTTTTCCTTTTTCTCTTTCTCTTTTTCTTCACTTTTTAAATTACCATCTATTAATTTGTTTTGAAAACACCCAGCATATAAGAACATAGAGAAAATTCAGATGACACATTATACAATGTCATTCTGCATTTTGCTAAAACACAAAATTGAACTTCTTGATCTGGGTGAGGGTTTCAAGGATATTAGTGTTATAATAATACATTAAGCTGTGTATTTATTTTCTGTCATTTTCTGTGCCCGTGTTTTGTTGAGTTTTTGGGGGGGTTTTTGAGACAAAGTTTCACTCTTTTGTGCAGGCTGGAGTATAGTGGTGTGACCATAGCTCAATGAAGCCTCGACCTCCTGGATTCAAGGGATCCTCCCACCTCAGCCTCTAGAGTAGCTGGGACTATAGACGTGCACCACCACACCAGGTCTAATTTTTTTTTTTTTTTTTTTTTTTTTTGTAGAGACAAGGTCTCACTATGTTGCCCAGGCTGGTCTCAAACTCCTGGCCTTAAGCAATCCTCTCACCTTGGTCTTCCAAAGTGCTGGGATTACAGGTGTGAGCCACTGTGCCCAGCCTGTTTTTTTTTTGTTTGTTTGTTTGTTTTTTAATTTTTAACAATAAAAAGATAAACAGAGGCATGCCAATGAAAAAGCACAGAACTTCCAGAGGCCATCTAAGTAGGAAATTAGTAGATTCCGACAAGGGACCACAACTATGAGAACGTTATAAACCCCACTGTGTGTTTTAGTTCATCCTGCCAATCCCCCTAATTATTCATTATAAAATCCCACAAATGGAAAGGATTCAAGCAGCTTTCTGAGAAATAAAGGAGGAGAAAGATCACATCGTCCCTTTCATTCATGTGTTCATTCAGATCACCTAAGCACCATTTTGTAATAGATTCTGAAAGGTCCTGAAGTTTAACAATGGGTAAGACTCAGTTCCCACTCCCAAGGACCCCCACAGCCAATCTTTGGAGAAAGGAACCCCAAGAGGTAGAGCAGTGGTGACCAATCAGAAGAATACAAGAGGCTAAAATCCCTGGGAGCTCTAAAAAAGAGGGAAAAATGACTCAAAGGTTTTACCTCAGACACTATTAACTTCCCCAGACCTACAGGCCTGACACCAGGAAACATATTTAATAAATTACTAATAGTTTCCATTGTATCTACTACATATAAAACAGCTTCCCATTCCACCGTGATTTTAGTTCAAGCTATTTGTCAATAATGTCAGTTGATCTGGGAACACTATACATGCAGGCTTTTGATGTTTTCATTCAGAAGTTGAAAGGTGACCAGGCGTGGTGGCTCACACCTATAATCCCAGCACTTTGGGAGGCCCACGTGGGCAGATCACTTGAGGTCAGGAGTTCGAGACCAGCTTGGCCAACATGGTGAAACCCTATCTCTACTAAAAACACAAAAATTAGCCAGCCATGGCGGCATGCACCTGTAATCCCAGCTACTTGGGAGGCTGAGGCTGGAGCATCCCTTGAACCTGGGAGGCAGAGGTTGCAGTGAGTCGAGATCATGCCATTGCATTCCAGCCTGGGCAACAGAGTGAGACTCTTGTCTCAAAAAAAAAAAAAAAATTAAAATTAAAAAAATTTTTACAAAAAGAAGTTTGATGGTGGGTTTATGGCTGTTTACTTTATTATTACGTTTCCTTTTTTTTGGAGACAGGGTCTTGCCCTATCACCCAGGCTGGAGTGCAGTGGTGCAATCACAGCTCACTGCAGCCTCAACCTTGCGGGCTCAAGCAAGTCTCCCACCTCAGCCTCCTGAGTAGCTGGGACCACAGATACACATTACTAAGCCCAGCTTATTTTTGTATTACATTTCATAACTTCCATACATGTTATATGTATTCTTTTGAATTTTAAAACATTCGTCAACCTAAAATCTAACAAAAATAGCAGTTGAATAACAAGATAATGCTGTAGGATAAAATTTGAAAATTGCCCCCTTCCCAAATTAACTAACTCGCTCGTCACAAGTTGTTACTAAAGTCAAAAGAAAAAACATATATAAAGTTTCAAGGCCCAGAAAAGCTACCTCTCTGCCCTTAAATGTGACCAATATAGCAATATTAGCAGATAGCAGTTATATTAATATTAAAAACATTACAATTGACTCAAAGCACCTGTACAGCCCTTTACAAAGCACATCCTTGACCATTTGTCTCATTTGATTTTCACAGAAATTCTACATGAGAGAAACTGCAGAATCCACTAAAAGAGACACTCGGGTTCCCTTCAAAACCTGATCTAAAGTAAACGGATGAAGAAATAATTTCCACTCTGCCAGTGTTTACCACTTCTGCATTCCCTCATGTGTAAAAACCTTTTTACATCATAAAACACGGTGGATGGGCCAGACAGTGGCTCATGCCTGGTAGTAATTCCAGTACTTTGGGAGGCTGAGGCGGGCAGATCACAAGGTCAGGAGTTTGAAACCAGCCTGGCCAACATGGTGAAATCTCATCTCTACCAAAAATTCAAAAATTAGCTGGGCATGGTGGTGCGTGCCTGTAATCCCAACTACTGGGGAGGCTGAGGCAGGAGAATAGCTTGAACTCAGGGGGTGGAGGTTGCAGTGAGCCAAGATTGTGCCTCTGCACTCCAGCCTGGGCAACAGAGCAAGACTCTGCCTCAAAACAAACAAAAAGAAACCCACAGCGGATGCCAACAGAAGTGAGCATTTACCATATGCTATGCCAAATATAGGCCTCATGCTAATGCTTCATGCACATTGTTTCAGCTAATTCGCCTAACAGACCTAGAAGGAAGTCATATGATTGCCCACAATTTTACATCTAAGAAAACAGAGACTCAGAAAAGTTCAGTCATTGGCCGCACAACATGGGTTTAGAGGCAAAATCAGGGCCAGAATCTAGGCTCACCTAACACCAAAGTCAGTGTTCCTAACCGTTGTATGATATTGTCTCCCATAAAAAATAAATCTCCCTAAAAACCTTCTCCAGCATCTTCCTCATCATTGATTGAGACAGTGCTCACAGAGACCCCATTCTATATGATCCACTCACCATTTCAGTTTTGGGAAGCGAGTCTCCGAGAAGGAAGATCATGTCCTTTAATTTCTCTTTGTCAATGTCTGCTGACAGTTCGTAGAGCAGGTTTCTAAGACACACAATCAAAATGACAAATAAAGCCTTACACTTGCAGAGGACACCATAATCAATCAAGTGCTTTCATAATGTTTTCTGTCATTTGAATGATCAACTCAGTGTGTAGACAATTATTAATCCCATTTAGAGATTCAAAAAATGAAAACTTTCAGTTTCTAAGTGATTTGTTTAAATGAAGATAACACAGTAAGTAGTAGAGGCAGGCCTTCTGATTTCAAGTCTAGTGCTGTTTTTCACCACACTAAGAAGGCATATTTTTTTAAAAGGCATAAAACACAATTCTGACATGCCCTTCCTTCTCCTTATTCCAACTAGAAATTCAGACTTACTTTACACACACTTGGTAGAGGACCCCAAGCCAGCCAAGGTACAGTTGGTTGTATATTGAAAAGGGAAGAAAACTATCCCAGCTTCGAGAGAGTTATATAATCCACAACCAGAAAAAGTGAGTATTTCGTCCACATACTAACACCCCTATGTGTCAGAGATGGTCCTTCAGATGTCTAGTGAGCAGAATGGAAAGACGGATTTCTGGAATTCATTATTCCTTTCACTGACTCAAGGGCAGCTCAGGTTCTGGGAGCCAGCTCCACTGCTAAGGCTCAATGTATTCTAATCTCCTAGACTGTAAAACACCCTCCAAGGCGCTTCTTAGTGAGGTTCTCTGATCTGGACACTATGTCATTGAACAATTTTAAACACTGTCATCGGCCAGGCACAGTGGCTCACGCCTGTAATCCCAGCACTTTGGGAGGCCAAGGTGCCTAGATCACTTGAGGCCAGGAGTTCCAGACCAGCCTGCCCAACATGTTGGAAACCCTTTTCTACTAAAAATATAAAAATTAGCCGGGTGTGGTGGTGGGTGCCTATAGTCCCAGCTACTCAGGAGGCTGAGGCAGGAGAATCGCTTGAACCCAGGAAGCTAAGTTTGCAGTGAGCTGAGATCATGCCACTTCACTTCATCCTGGGTGACAAAGCAAGACTCTGTCTCATAATAAAAATAAAACGCTGTCATCCGTGATAAGACCGATGCCTAAATTTTACCTCTTTGGGCAACATGACTATTTTTACTTCTCTGGATTTCCACCCAAAAATATATAAGTATCTATCACTAGACATGGCATAAATGACATCCCTCCCTACTCCAGAAACACATCTCTTTTTTTTATCTTACTTACTTCACTCCAAATATGACTTACTCTATTCTCAAGACCCTGGGAAACAGGTAGACAGACCAGAGGATCCCAGGAGGGAGAAGATCTACACGTGTGGTGGCTGGTAACCAGGGAAGATGCACGCTTGGCCACGCTGAGGTGGACCTCACTGCTGGTGAGGAGCAAAGCAAAGGGAAGCCACCTCCAGGCCCAGAGCTTGGTCTTGAAGCTTTGCTGACCTCCCACCTCTCATCTCATTAGCATCAGAGGCTGAGAGGGAGGTTTAGAGCCTCCTGGTTTATCATCCAAAAAGGTAGATAACCAAAAGATTTTTTTTTTTTTTTTTGAGACAGTCTCGCACGGTTGCCAGGCTGGAGTGCAGTGGCGCAATCTCGGCTCACTGCAACCTCGCCTCCTGGAGGATCAAGTGATTCTTCTGCCTCAGCCTCCCAAGTAGCTGGGACTACAGGCACATGCCACCACACCCAGCTAAGTTTCATATTTTTAGTAAAGGCAGGGTTTCACCATATTAGCCAGGATTGTCTTGATCTATTGACCTCGTGATCCGCCCACCTCAGCCTCCCAAAGTGTTGGGATTACAGGCGTGAGCCACCTCACCCGGCCACCAAAAGATCTTAACTGCAGCTTCCTTTCAAAGCCCAATGGCCAGAATGAACACTAGATGGGAGATCCTCCCATCTTCTCAACAGACGCGTCCTCACCTGAACAGAGAGACCCTTCTTTGGGTGGGCAGCAAATGCTCCACTTTCTCTTTGGTGTAGTTGAGATACTGCAGCAGCTTCTTCTGCCCTATGATATAGAGGAGTTCCGCCAGGAAGAAGGGGTCGTTCTCACTCAGCAGATCCTCTGCCAAGAGATGTTCAAAAACATCGGAGGCTGAGCTGGACTTCTCCAGGTTCTTGTTGGGGACCAAGCCTATGCAGAGAAACTTGAGGTGCTCCACATCTTCGACTCCCAGGTTTGAACAAATAATCAGAAGCTTCTCACGAAAGGTCCCTTTACAGTTTTTATCTGAATGTGGACCTTGAGAGCTCATGGCCAGCCTGAAAGAGACAGAGAGGTGGGGCAGGGCGTTAGAGAGTGAGGATATATGGCACCCTGACTTCCCAGGCCTTCCCCTCATCACAGCTTCCTCTGTTCTGGGCATTAGACTTTCCTAAAAGTGCTGAAAAATAAAAATTACTTTGAGGCTACTTCAAAAACCAACAGCCCAGAAAACTTTGCCCCAACATTTGCAAGTTACTTTTCAGGAAGCTTGGAGGAAGTTTATATTGAAACTCAATTCACCTTAATTTCTCCCGAATCAAAATGTGCCCAGAGGGAGAGAGTTAAGATGGAGGGACACAGCACCATTTCTCTCAAGCCTGATAGCCTGATTGGAGCCATTATGTTCATTTCCATCAAGTGGCAGAAATAGCATTTGGATCTATGCTTTAAGTTTTAGAAACAGAGGCTGGGCGCAGTGGCTCATGCCTGTAATCCCAGTACTTTGGGAGGCTGAGGCAGGCGGATCACCTGAGGTCAAGAGTTTGAGACCAGCCTGACCAACATGGAGAAATCCCATCTCTACTAAAAATGCAAAATTTGCCGGGCATGATGGTTGGCGCCTGTAATCCCAGCGACTCAGGAGGCTGAGGCAGGAGAATCGCTTGAACCCAGGAGACAGAGGTTGCAATGAGCCGAGATCACGCCATTGTACTCCAGCCTAAATGACAGGAGTGAAACTCTGTCTCAAAAAAAAAAAAAAAGAAAGAAAGAAAGAAAAGAATAGTTTTAGAAACAAAGCAATCTAGGGGAGGCAGGATTATCCTTTTAAATTATCTATCAACCCAAAGACAGCAAGGTACCATGACAGATGCGTATTACGTCTTCACTTCAGACTGCTATCTGTAAGAGGGCAGGCCTCTATCTTACAGAAAAGGAAGGCAGAATCTAGACCTCAAGCCTGAGCAACATGGCAAGACCTGGTCTCCACTAAGAATACAAAAAATTAGCAGGGCATGGTGGTACGTGCCTGTGCTCCCAACTCAGGAGGCCAAGGTGGAAGGATCAAGTGAGCCCAGGGGGCAGAAGTTTGCAGTGAGCCATGATTGTGCCACTGCACTCCACCCTGGGTGAGAGAGTGAGACTCTATCCAAAAAAAAAAAAAAAAAAATCCTAGACCTCAGAAGGAATGGGTGCTTTTAGACAAGAGTTTTTCAAATCAGTGTAGGAAGTTAAAATTTTCATGGGTAGGCTGCTCTGTCTATGGAGTAGCCATTCTTTTGTTTACTTATCTAATACATTTGTTTTCACTAAAAAAAAAAAAATTATGTAAATAAATGTTTCCATCTGACCAGTTTGTAAACTACACTGTTCTCTATACTAAATTTCATTATAATCAGAGGAGCAATGCAGTGATAACATTTCCATTGTAACATTATTTATTCTATAAGCACTTGAGGTATATAGTCATTATGCAGAACTTGGCTATTTTTAGAAACAGGAAACTACTTTCTAAAGGAAAGAACAGGCAGTGTGCAGCGGCTCACACCTATAACCCCAGGTAGGAGTTCGGGATCAGAATGGGCAACATGGTAAAACTCTGTCTCTACAATAAATACAAAAATTAGCCAGGCATGGTGGTGCACACCTGTGGTCCCAACTACTCAGGAGGCTGAGGCAGAAGGATCATTTGAGCCCTGAGGGTAGAGGGTCCAGTGAGCCATGATCATGCCACTGCATTCCACCCTGGGTGACAGAGGAAGACCCTGTCTGGAAAAACAAACAAACAAACTGCTAGACCTCAGAAGGAAAGATTGGTTTTAGACAAGAGTTGCTCAAATCAGTGTAGTTAGTTGAAAATTATATGAGTCAATGTTTCCATCTGACTAGTTTATAAACTACTGTACAGGTATTCTCTGTACTGAATTTCATTATAATCAGAGGAACACTTCATGAGGCCGAGGCAGGTGGATCACTTGAGGCCAGGAGTTTAGGACGAGCCTGGGCAACATGGTAAAACCCTGTCTCTTAAAATATATAAAAATTAGCCAGGCGTGGTGGTGCCTGTGGTCCCAGCTATTTAGGAAGCTGAAGCCAGAGGATTGCTTGAATCTGGAAGACGGAAGTTGCAGTGAGCCAAGATTGTGCCACTGTACTCCAGCCTGGTGAAAGAACGAGACCCCATCTCAATTAAATAAATAAATGAAGGAAAGAAGGAAGAAACACATAGCAAAAATCAAAACCTCCATAACAAAGAGTAGTTATATTGAGATGGCATAACTATAGATAATACAAATTTTCTTCTGGGCTTCCAACTGAATTTCTCAAATTTTATTTATACATGAACGTACATATTACTTTCAATATTAAAAGAAACAAAAAATGGTGGCTCACACCTGTAATCCCAACACTTTGGGAGGCCGAGGTGGGCAGATCACCTGAGGTCAGGAGTTCAAGACCAGCCTGATCAACTTAGTGAAACCCCATCTCTACAAAAAATACAAAAATTAGCGGGGCATGGTGGTGCATGCCTGTGATCCCAGCTACTTGGGAGGCTGAGGCAGGAGAATCGGTTGAACCTGGGAGGCAGAGTTTGCAGTGAGCCAAAACAGAGTAAAACTCTGTCTCAAAAAAAAAAATGTCATTTTAAATGTGATGATCCAGGGGATCTTCCCTGCTACTAGCCCTGAGGTCAAACGAGTGGGTTTTTGGAGACACGTTTCTATTCTACCACATCTTACATTTGCCTTGTGATTTCCTGACTATTCCAATGTCTAGTTTTAATGAGTCTGCCACACTTTGTCTCTGGGAATTAACATATTTCTGCCGGTAAAAGGCTATGTTGGAGGCTTCTGGATTTTTGAACTTTTGTTTTCCCATGCCTGGCAAAGAAATCTAAGCAGAAATAATAACATTGCTGACAAGTTTTTGCAAGTTTCTACAACATGAAGCCATGAAGCAAAGGAAAAGATCCAAGCATGAGGCTCTGGGGTATTTAATTACATACCTTCAGATCAAGCTCCACCAATCCTCTGGAGGTAAACGATTCTCAGGGAAATTGCTTGAAAATAAAATTTTAAAGAAAGTAGAATCCTCTATGTGCTCCAAGGTCCAAGGAAGCTCCCAATTTCATGGGAAGAGCCTTCAAGACTTGCTGGCAGTTTAAGTGAAAACTGGCTCTTTCTGGGCTGGGTAGCCTGATACTAATTTCCTGACAATGTCGTCACTGCTTATTTGGCTTTTTCCCTCCCCTTATCCAGGCTTAAGATAACTTTGACAAATAGCGCCTCCTAAAGGCTAATTTACAACTGTCTCACTGTGAGAGAGCTTGTGGTTTCCCTAAGTAAAGCAAAATCTTCCTAGAAATGAACCCATGGAAGCCATGAAGTCCTGCAGGCTTTCCTTTGGATCTCCATTTTCTTGGTAAGTCAAAAAGGGAATCAATCTATAGTTGGTGGGAAAAGAATAAAAAAAAAAAGAAAAAGAAAAAAAAAGGGAAGCATCTATTTTTCTAATCATCTCCTTCCCCAAACACTTAACTTTTCAAATAAAGCCAAGTTAACCCTTTCCTTAGTCCACATGCAAATAAACAAATAATTTTTTTTTTTTTTTTTTTTTTGAGACTGAGTCTCGCTCTGTCACCCAGGCTGGAGTGCAATGGTGCAATCTACAGTCACTGCAACCTCCTCCTCCTGGGTTCAAGCAGTTCTCCTGCCTCACCCTCCCAAGTAGCTGGGATTACAGGCACATGCCACTATGTCACGCTAATTTTTTGTATTTTAGTAGAGATAGGGTTTCACCATGTTAGCCAGGCTGGTCTTGAACTCCTGACCTCGTGATCCACCCACCACAGCCTCCCAAAGTGCTGGGATTACAGGCATGAGCCACCAGATTTGGCCAACAAATAAATTTTTTTTTTTTTTTTTTTTTTTTTTTTTTTTTTTTTTTTTTTGAGACGGAGTTTCGCTCTTGTTACCCAGGCTGGAGTGCAATGGCGCGATCTCGGCTCACCGCAACCTCCGCCTCCTGGGCTCAGGCAATTCTCCTGCCTCAGCCTCCTAAGTAGCTGGGATTACAGGCATGCACCACCATGCCCAGCTAGTTTTTTTGTATTTTTAGTAGAGACGGGGTTTCACCATGTTGACCAGGATGGTCTCGATCTTTCGACCTCGTGATCCACCCGCCTCGGCCTCCCAAAGTGCTGGGATTACAGGCTTGAGCCACCGCGCCCGGCCCAAATAAAATTTTTAAACAATGAAAGAAAAGTGGGGATTTGCTTTCAGTCTTTGTGGGAGAAATTAAGAAACAAAAAGAAAAGTGGGGATGGTGAATGACAAGCCCATTTGGAAGTACCTGCAAGAGACTCAACCAATTAATGGTAGACAAAACTGACAGTGTGTGTTTGCACAGCACATTCAAACCAACAGAAAAGAGAGACTTTGAAGACATTATTTCTAATAAAATAATATTGAAAACTTGCTTTTTTTTCTTTTCTTCTTTTTTTTGAGATGGAGTCTTGCTCCATCACCAGGCTGGGGTGCAATCTCGGCTCATTGCAACCTCCGCCTCTGGGTTCAAATGATTCTCCTGCCTCAGCCTCCTGAATAGCTGGGACTATAGGTGCATATCACACCCAGCTAATTTTTGTATTTTTTAGTAGAGATGGGGTTTCACCATGTTGCCCAGGATGGTCTCAATCTCTTGACCTTGTGATCCACCTGCCTCGCCCTTCCAAAGTGCTGGGATTACAGGTGTGAGCCATAGCGCCCAGCCTAATACTGCATGCTTCTATTGCAACTACCCTGTGCCATAGGGTATTTACAAATTTTTACTCATTTCACCATCCCAACAACACCCCAAGATAAAATACTATTACTATGACTCCTGCTTTGACATGTGAAAACTAAGACACAGAAAGGTTAAGTAATTTTCCCAAGGTCACACCGTGAGCTACTGGGAAAGCCAAGATTTAAACCAGCAAGTTTGGCTTAAAGTTACTACACTATAATTAAGCTACCTCAAATGTGCAGCGATCTGGAAAGAGGTACAGAGTCTTTGAAAAATGCTCTACCTCTGGGGAAAAAAGCAAGATTTGTGATGCTTTGATTAGCAAATGCATTAAAAAGTCCTTTCCATGTCCTAGGCATCATTCAGAGAACTTCCGTGAAAGACAAGTTCTGGTCAGGCACGGTGGCTCACACCTGTAATCCCAGCACTTTGGGAGGCTGTGGTGGGCTGATGGCTTGAGGTCAGGCGTTCAAGACCAGCCTGGCCACCATGGTGAAAGCCAATTTCTACTAAAAACATAAAATTTGCTGGGTGTGGTGGCACATGCCTGTAATCCCAGATACTCAGGAGGCTGAGGCTGGAGACTCACTTGAACCTACGAGGCAGAGGTTGCAGTGAGCCAAAATCATGCCATTGCCCTCCAGCCTAGGCAACAGAGAAAGTCTCTGTCTCAAAAAACAAACAAACAAACAAACAAAAAACTCTTCTTGGGAAAGGGGGGCCTGGGTGCAGCAGGCTGGGTTACTAACTACCCCAGTCCCAGGCAGGGTGGGGCCCTGCCCCTAGAATGCTGCAGCAGAGTGAGGAGAGGGCCCCAACTGACCATAAAGCATGTAGCGACCACCTTCTCTGCCTGTTCTGTTGGGCCCAGGCTAGTCCTTATTTGTCCCAGCCTGGGCTCCCCCTGTGGTTTCCAGTTTGCAGTTACTTTGAATTAAAATATAAATATTATTTTCTGGAAAATAATTTAAAAAGAAAGACAAGCCGTAAGTCTTGGTCTTCTATTTAGTTGATTATAAATATTTCCTTTCTGGCTGATGGGGTGGCTCACACCTGTAATCTCAGCACTTTGGGAGGCCGAGGCAGGCAGATCACTTGAGGTCAAGAGTTCAAGACCAGCCTGGTCAACATAGTGAAACCCATCTCTACTAAAAATACAAAAATTAGACGGGCGTGGCGGCTGACGCCTGTAATCCCAGCCACTTGGGAGGCTGAGGCAGGAGAACCGCTTGAACTGGAGAGACAGAGGTTGCAGTGAGCCAAGACTGTGCCATTGCACTCTAGCCTGGGGGCAGAGTGAGTGAGACTCTTTCTCAAAAAAAAAAAAAAATTCATTTCTTGAGCCATTTAGGGAGGCAATGAGTGAAACTATCACCTCTCTCACCCTGTTCATAAAATATGTTAACTCTTTCAACCTTTGACTCAATAATATTAAATATTTAGCAGGCAATTCAAAGCCCTGAATTGGGCACAATTGGAAAGCAAGGCGAACAAAACGTAGTGCCTACTTTCCATAATAACTATGATGACTGGTACTACCATTTCTCAACTCCTCCTTCTCTGATGAACTCATAACAACTCCCAGCCTCAGTTGGCATTATTATCCACATTCAATAGATGAGGAAACCCAGATTCAGAGAGGCAAGGAATCTTGTCACCATCTCAAAGCTACAAACAGGAATTCAGGGCTCAACCACGGGTCTCTGTGACTCCAAACCCCTTGCTCTTGATCCCAGGGCTACCGCTGCCCGAATGTCAGTATGACATCATGTAGCATCTGTAAGTGTGGGCAGGGGGTGGCAATGCCACAGGGAGGCTTCACCTCAGTGCTACAAGGGACAATCCAGTCAGGCATTCCTTAGAGGGAGTGGTATTTGATCTAGGCCTGAAAGGTAAAGGCAGAATACAGACCCAGGAAGTAAAACCGAAACTTATATCCTAGTAGTCCAGGGAAATGTTTGAATCAGGTTACAGAAGGGAGATGGTATGCAGTACAGATGTTGGTATTCGGCATTTTCTACTTGCTCCTACACACAGTTACTGAGGGCGTGTTGATCGTAGTAGAACAAACACATCTTACAATCTCCTTCCTGATTGGTTGCGGTCTACTGAGTCCACATGAAGAGCCACTCAAAACCCTGATGGCCTTTTGTAGAGATACATGGATGTCAGTGACTGCTTTAGTTCCACGTTAGGAGCGGGTAGTGGTAGCAGTGGTTGGCTTCCCTTTACATCCAGTCTCTGGTCCAAGTTCCCCACCTTCTGTTCAGATAGACTTTAAAGAATAATGACTCCTGTACTAAAGGATTGGCATAAACAATGGGGGAGGAGGAAGGAATATACTGGCTAGAGAAGAGCTCGGAGTGCTGAAACCTCCACCCCAACCAATGAGGATCCTTCAGAAGGTCTTGAAGTAACAGGTCCTCTAGATTTGACACCCCCAACCTCCAGGACTCCCTTACCCCACTTTGCTCCATACCTTTGGTAAGGAATCTTTGGGTTGTCAATTTTCCCACCAGAAAAAACCTCTATGGCTGCAGCATCTTTGCCCGAGTTCTGGCCCATGTCCAGGAAGAATGAGGTACACAGAGAAGTGAAGGGTGAACAAGACGGAGAAGAGCTTTATTTAGTGTTCGAACAGCTCAGAGGAGGCCCTCAGTAGGTAGCTCGTCTGTTCACTGCTCAGTTCTCAGTGGAGAAGAGGCCCTGGAGAGGGTGGCTCCTCTCTGCAGTCAGGTTGCCTCTGCAGCTCTCAGTGGAAAAGGTAGCTCCTCTCTGCAGCTGGCCATCCCATTTTCTCCAGCTATCAGCAGAGAGTACTCCTCTCTGCAGCTGGTCATCCCGTCACCTCTCAGCCCTCTTAGTCCTCTAGCCATCCTCTGCTCTACTCTGGCTAAGCCCAGGGCTTTTATGGACCTCAGAGGGGAGGAAGTGGCTGCTGATCTATCCGTAGGCACCTGGAGGAAGCACCACAAGTCCCCACTCACAGTTCGCTGGCCTGGAAGCCCCACCCCCAGCCTTCAGGCTCTCCCTGGCCTGAAGGTAGGGACTTACCTGGGACCTGCCCCCTTCTTCCCAGGACTCTGTCTGCCTCCCGCTGCCATTCAAGGCCCTAGGATTTGGCCTCCACTCTGCTCCAAGAACAGAGCAGTTGCCAGGAGCAGAGAGAGGCCAGGCAGTGGGAGCAGACACCCCAGGCCTGCAGGGATGAGGCGGTAGAGGTCCTTTCTGGGACCCTCAGGGTGCAGGCTGCAGAGAGGCCCGGGTCCTGCACCTAGGAAGGTGGCTGCAGCCACACCCGGGAAGACAGATCCTGTCTGCTCCCGGCCCTCATCCAAGAGCACAGGGAGGCTGAGATCCACAGCTGCAGTCTGGGTGGCTGGGTTTGAGCAGCTGCAGCAGTACCCGAGGAGCTCCCGTTTCAACTCAGAAGGTGGGAGGCATCCACCATCTCCATGGAGTGTGTAGCCCAAGCAGTGCCTCCCTGTTGCAGCCAGCATCATGGCCGCAGCCACTGCCATCACCTTTATCCACACATTCCAGACCTTCCCAGAACTGTCTTATGTGGCAAATGCGCTTACAGTGAAACTAAGGTCTGAAGGAATAGACTTTTTCTGTCAAAGATCCTATCAGAGATTTCCAAATAGTCAACAGAAAGGAGATGATAGCTAGACAAGTAAAATGCAACCAGACCCAGGCAGTGTGGTAGTATGCTCCTATAGTCCTAGCTACTGAGGAGGCTGAGGTGGGAAGATCACTTGAGCCTAGGAGCTGGAGACCAGCCTGGGCAACATAGCAAGATCCCATCTCAAAAAAAAAAAAAAAAAGTGACTCATTTTGTGTTCACTGTGCTTGCTACATAATAGAACAGAGTCGCTAGGAAATTCAGGATGACAAAACCTCTAATTTCCACAAGATGGCAGTAGTTCCTAAAAGTTAAATTAGCAATAGTGATAGGTTGGCAAGGGAACTAGGTGGATGTGATTAAATTGAGTAATGTGGGAGAGGGGTGGAAGCTCATGCCTGTAATCCCAGCATTTTGGGAGGCCGATGCAGGCAGATCACCTAAGGCTAGGAGTTTGAGACCAGCCTGGCCAACATGGTGGAACCCTGTCTCTACAAAAAAATACAAAAAAAATTAACCTGGTGTGATGATGGGTGCCTGTAATCCCAGCTACTCAGGAGGCTGAGGCAGGAGAATCACCTGAACTTTGGAGGTGGAGGTTGCAGTGAGCCAAGATCACACCATTGCACTCCAGCTGGGGCAACAAGAGTGAAATTTCATCTCAACAAAAAAAAGAAAAAATGAGTAATGTTTATTATATATATCAATAATATATATTTGAACTTAAAATATATATTATATATTATAAAAATTATATATAACATATTGCATATTATATAAATATATTTAAAATATATAAATTTAAAATATGCTATATATCAATAAATTTAAAATGCAGTATATAAAAACCACTGTGTGTGTGTATTTATATATATATATATATATATATATATATATATATATATATATATATATATGAGGGGTTTTCTTGAGACAGGGTTTTGCTGTATTGCCCAGGCTGGAGTGCAGCAGCAAGATCATAGTTCACTCCAGGGCTCAAGTAACCCTCCCACCTCAGCCTCCAGAGTAGCTGGAACTAAAGGCATGTCCCACCGTGCCCAGCAAAAATTTTTTAATGTTTTTGTAGCGACTGGATCTCATTTCTTTGCCCAGCCTGATCTTGAGCTCCTGGGCTCAAGCAATCCTCCTACCTCAACTTCCCAAAGTGCTGGGATTACAGGCATGAGCCATGGCACTGGCCTGAGTAAAATAGTTTTAATGCTCCTTGAAAAAGATCCAAAAAAATTAAAGCAGCAAGGTCTTTCACTTCGAGGTGAGTTTGTTGTTTCTAGCACAAAAAAAAAAAAAAAAAAAAACAAGAAACTGCCAGTATTTGACTAAGCAATTTTTCAAATGGGAAACCTATGACTTAGCCACATCTACAAAAATTCACAATGAAGCCAGTGACAAGAAATGTCACCATATCAACTTAAACAAAGAAGGAGCTTGTTACAGCGAGTAGCTAGTCAGGTCTGAGCAAGGCGAGAGAGGGCTCCCCCAACAGGCACCAAGAGTGTTGGGATTCATCAGTTGATGGTCAGGTAGTTGTTAAATGTTTCTCTAAAGTAATAATTGGTCACACAGGTGGTGCCAGGGACAGGTAGGCTCCTAATAGAAAACACCTGAAACTGATCATCAGCTTCCCAAAAAGATCTCAGGAATTGGAAGAAGTAACGAAAGATCCCGGAAGTATGCCAGCTTATTAAAAACCCCAAGTCAAGAGAGAAAGCCCTGCACTTGGTTTCTCAGCTCATCCACCTGGCCCTCTTCCAAGTTATACTTTCCTTTTCTTTCCTTTCCTTACTGTTCTAAAGCTTAATAAACATTCTTTCTCAGGTCACTGAAAACTCTGCCTTCCAGGTTCAAGTGATTCATCTACCTCAGCCTCCCAAATAGCTGGGACTACAGGCATGCACCATGCCCAGATAATTTTTATATTTTTAGAAGAGACAGGGTTTCACCATGTTGGCCAGGCTAGTCCAACTCCTGATCTCAAGTAATCCACTAGCCTCGGCCTCCCAAAGTGCTGGAATTACAAGTGAGAGCCACCATGCCCAGCCTAAAGCTTAATAAACTTTCAATCCTGCTCTGAAACTTGCCTGGGTCTTTCCTTCTGCCTGATGCCCTTCGGGCGAATTCTTTCTTCTGAAGAGGCAAGAATTGAGGTTGCTGCAGATTCGCCACCAGTAGCTTGGATACCTTCCACCAGTAACAAGTTCAGTTAAGACGGCAATACACCTCAAATGTATTTTATTTTATTTTGAGACAGGGTCTCACTCTGTTGCCCAGCCTGGAGTACAGTGACACGATCTCAGCTCTCTGAAACTTCCATCTCCCAGGCTCAATCGATCCTCCCACCTCAGCCTTCCATGTAGCTAGGATTACAAGTGCATGCTAATACCCAGCTAATTTTTTTAATTTTAGTAGAGACAGGGTTTTGCTGTGTTGCCCAAAGTGGTCTCAAAGTCCTTGGCTCAAGTGATCCATCCTCCTCGCCTCCCAAAGTGCTGGGATTACAGGCATGAGCCACCATGCCCAGCCAAACTTATCTTTATATGTCTGTTGCAGGCAAAAGTACCCCAAGGTTGAGGCTCAGCCCAGGAGGCCAGGTGGATTCAGGAAAGAATTCAAGAGCATGCTGACTGAGTAAGGTGAAAGCAAGTTTATTAAGAAAGTAAAGGAATAAAAGAATAGCTACCCCATAAGGAGAGTAGCCCTGATGGTCTGCAGACTAGCTATATTTATGATTGCTTCTTGACTATATTATGCTAAACAAGAGGTGGATCATTAATGAGTTTTCCAGAAAAGAGGTGGGGAGCTCTGGACCTTTTCGACCATACAGGGTAACTTCTGAAAGTTGCTATGGCATTCGTAAACTATCATGGTGCTGGTACGAGTTTCTTGTAGTGTGCTAATGGATTATAGCACAGAATGAGCAGCCAGGGTACATGGAGTTCTCTTCTGTCACCATCTTGGCTTTGGCTGGTTTTGGTTTACCTTTCTACAACATCCTGTCTTATCAGCAGGGTCTGTGACTTGGGAAACTAGTCCTACCAAACTCCTCGAATTCAGTGTAATCGCTATCAAAATTCCAGAGTTCCTTTTAACATAATTTGGCAAGCAAATCCTAAAAGTTATATGAAAATTAGGAAATGTAAACCCAATACAGCCCAAACAATTTTGAAAAAGAACAGGCCAGGTGCAGTGGCTCACCCTTCAGCACTTTGGGAGGCAGAGGTGGGAGGACTGCATGAGGCCAGGAGTTTGAGACCAGCCTATGTAACATAGCAAGACCCCATCTCTACAAAAAAAAAAAAAAAAAAAAAAAAAAAGCAAAGTTGGAGGACTACATTTCTGGATTTCAAAACTTACTTCAAAGTTATAATAATCAAGACAACGTGGTACTAGCATAGGATAGGGCAACAGAATAGAGTCCAGAAATAGACCCTTATAGTTAGTTGATTTGTAATAAGTAAAAAATAATTCTATAGGGAAAAAAAATAGTATTTTCAATAAGTAATGCTGAGACAAGTGGACATTTATGTGCAAAAGAATGAGGTTGGACCCTTATCTCACACTGCATACACAAAAATAACACAAAATTATATAAATTATATAAATTATATATATAATTATATATAAATTATATATATAATTACATATATATAAATTATATATATAAATTATATAAATTATATAAATTTTGTGTTATTTTTGTGTATGCAGTGTGAGATAAGGGTCCAACCTCATTCTTTTGAGCTAAAGATCAAAGAGCTAAAATCATAAAACTTTAGAAAACATAGGTGTAACACCTCATGGGCAATTGATTTAGACAATGGTTTCTTAGATATGACACCAAAAGCATAAGCAATAACATAAAAAAACATCGAGATCAATTGAACTTCATCGAAATTTAAAACTTGTACTGTAAAGGACAGTATCCAGAAAGTGAGAAGACAATCCACAGAATGGGAGAATATATTCGTAGACTGTATCTAATAAGAAACTAATATCCACAATATTTAAAAGAATGCTTACAACTTAATAAAAAGTTAAATAACCCATTGGGTGCAGTGTCTCATGCCTGTAATCCCAGCACTTTGGGAGTCCAAGGTGGGCAGATCACCTGAGGTCAGAAGTTCGAGACCAGCCTGGCCAACATGGCAAAAGCCTGTCTCTACGAAAAATACAAAAATTAGCCGGGCATGGTGGCACATGTCTGTAATCCCAGTTACTTGGGAGGCTAAGGCAGGAGAATCACTTGAACCCAGGAGGCTGAGGTTGCAGTGAGCTGAGATCACACCACTGCACTCCAGCCTGGGCAACAGAGGGAGACTCCACCTCAGAAAAAAAAAAAAAAAAAGACAACCACATCTTAAAATGGGAAAGAATTTGATGCTGGGCACAGTAGCTCATGCCTGTAATCCCAACATTTTGGGAGGCTGAGACAGCAAATCACCTGAGATCAGGAGTTCAAGACCCGACTGGCCAACATGGTAAAACCGTCTCGACTAAAAATACAAAAATTAGCTGAGCATGGTGGCAGGCACGTGTAATCACAGCTACTAGCGAGGCTGAAGCAGGAGAATCGCTTGAACATGGAAGGTGGAGGTTGCAGTGAGCCAAGATCATGCCACTGCACTCTACCCTGGGACAATGGGGCTTTCAGCAAATAGACAGTTTTACTTCCTTGCTTCCTATTCAAATATCTTTTATTTCTTTCTCCTGCCTGATTGCCCTGGCCAAAACTTCCAATACAATGTTGAATAGGAGTAGTCAGACAGGGCACCCTAGTTTTGTACCAGTTTTCAAGGGGAATGCTTCCTGCTTTTGCCCATTCAGTATAACATTAGCTGTGAGTTTATCATAAACGGTTCTTATTATTTTGAGATATTTTCCTCAATACCTAGTTTATTGAGAGTTTTTAACACGAAGGGATGTTGAATTTCAGTTCATGAGGCCACGCATACACATTACTTCCCACTGGCACCCCTATGCAATATTAAATGCAAAGACACCCTCAGGAGTCCTACGCTGAAAACAAGTGCAAAATAACTTTTTGTTGTTGTTCATGGTACTGGTGGTTTTATTTATTTATTTATTCTGAGACAGGTTCTCACTCTGTCTCTCATGCTGAAGTACAGTGGTGTGATGACAGCTTACCACAACCTCAACGTCTCTGGGCTTAGGGGATCCTCCCACTTCAGCCTCCCAAGTAGCTGGGACTATAGGAATATACCACCACATCCAGCTTATTTTTTTACTCGTTTATAGAGATGGACCTTGCTATATTGCCCAGGCTGGTCTTGAACTCCTGGGCTCAAGTGATCTGTCGGCTTCAGCCTCCCAAAGTACTCAGATTATAGGTGTGAGCCACCACAGCCTCAAAATAACTTGGAAAGTAGGCATAGCTGCTTGTCGTTCCTGAAAACTGTCTCTTTCACACTTTTACATCTCTGCTGCATAATCATGACAGAATACACACAAATACACATACAGATACACATCAGTTAAAACTAACTTCAAGAAATATGAAAATAAATAATTAATTTTTAAAAATCATTTACGCTTTCGGATCGTGAGCAACGCTGCAGCCAATAAAGGCCGTTCCTGACATTTTTAAAAAATCATTTAAAAAGCGGTATTCTGCCACACTGCCCAGGTCCTCCCACACGGTCTGGGATGCTTGGGTCCCAAAGAGCTTCCGCTGGTGAGCCGCCCGCGCTGGCGCTTCAGTCCACAAAGCAGCAGAGGTAGTGCAGTTCATGGTTCTCTGCCAGCAGGCGCCGACTGAGCTGACAGATCTCTTCCAGGTGGCCCTGCAGCTGCCGATTCACCTCCTCCAGGAGGCGGTCACAACGCACCAGTGCCGCCAGGCGTGTCGCCTCCTCCCGCCGCTCTTCCTTGCCCATCGTTGCCATCTTCTCGTCGGTCAGCTCCTCCAGGCCGCTTGCCTCGGCCTCCATGGCTGGCCAGGCCGCTGGAGCATCGCCTGTCTGCCGCTGAGGCCCAGGAGCCCCACGTGGGGCCCGGCGCGGCTCAGGCTCACACTCTGGCGCTGCGCGCAGTGCAGGCCAACTCTAATGACATTTTAAACTACGGTCCCCTTTTAGGTCACACTATCAAATCAGAGAAAGATATACTTGATTAGCTGTTAAATGCGACTTGAGGTCTAGGTGAAAGAACAAGTAACCTCATAAGGCCATTAAATGATTACAGACTGAATGTTTGTGTCCCCCCAAAATTCAAAAGGGAGACATGTTCCCCAATGTGACAGTATCAGAAGGTGGGGCCTTTGGGAGGTAATTAGGTTGTATGGGTAGAGACCTTATGAATGAGATTCATTCCCTTAAAGAAAATACACATTGGGAGGCTGAGACAGGAGAATCGCTTCAACCTGGGAGGCGGAGGTTGCCGTGAGCCAAAATCCACCATTGCACTCCAGCCCAGGCAACAAGAGCAAAACTCTGTTTCAAAAAAAAAAAAAAAAAAAAGATACACATGAGAGCCTGCTTCCTCTGTCTTTTTCTGCCATGTGAGGACATGAATAGACCATCTGATAAGACCTGGAAGCATGCCTTACCAGACACCACATCTGCTACCACCTAGATGTTGTATATCCCAGCCTCCACAACTGTGAGAAATAACTGCTGTTTAAGTCACCCGGTCTAAGGTAATTTGGTATAATTGCCCAGATGGACTGTGAAGGTTAATACTGAGTATCAACATGATTGGATAGAAAGATGCAAAGTATTGTTCCTGGGTGTGTCTGTGAGGATGTTGGCATAAGAAGATTAACGTCTGAGTCAGTGGACTGGGAAAGGCAGACCATCCTCAATCTGGATAGGCACCATCTAATCAGCTGCCAGCACTGCAGAATAAAAGCAGGCAGAAGAACGTAGAAAGACCAAACTGGCTTAGTCTTCTGGCCTCCATCTTTCTCCTGTGCTAAATGCTTCCTGCCCTCAAACATTGGACTCCACGTTCTTCAGCTTTGGGACTTGGATTGGCTTCCTTGCTTGCAGATGGCCTATTGTGGGACCTAACCTTGTGATCGTGTGAGTCAATACTCCTTAATAAAATCCCCTTTGTATATCCATCTATCCTATTAGTTCTGTTCCTCTAGAGAAACCTGACTAATACATGGACTAAAATAGTTCCTGTCCTTTTTTTTTTTTTTTAAGAGATGGGGTCTTGCTATATTGCCCAGGTTGATATGCAACGGTTATTCATAGGCACAATCATAGCATGCTACGACCCTGAACTGGGTTCAAAAGATCCTCCGGCCTCAGCCTCCCAAGTAACTTGGATTACGGGTACTTACCACCACACCTAGCTAATTTTTGTTTTTTTATTAGAGACAGCGTTTTGCCATGTTGGCCAGGCTGATCTTGAACTCCTGACCTGAAGTGATCTGTGCTCCTTGGCCTCCCAAAGTGCTGGGATTGCAAGCATGAGCCACTGTGCATGGCCTTTTGGTTTCTTATGTGTAAGAGAGGATAAGCTTCTTCCTCAGAGTGTGCTGCAGCCAGACATTGTATTTCTCCTTAGCAGAAACTCTGCTGTTCCAATCATATATGTGGCTATTGAGTTCAGTGTGGAGATCCAGGAGTGGGCGTTTTCTGGAGGAAACAAGAAAGGCAAAACTTAATGCCATGCAAATATCAAAGAGAAGACAGATTGTCATTTGGGTGAAATGAGCCAACAGATGTGAAAGTTCTTTGAAACTGTTCCTTTCTAAAGGCACCACAAGCTGCTTAGCGAATGATTCAAACTAACTTGCAGTGCTCTGGCCTGCTGGCCACCATCCTCCTCCCTCAAGGGGCAGCTGAGTTTCATTCTGGGAACATGCCAGCCAGATGATAACCCATGTGGATCATCTATACAAATAAAGATGGGCTCAAAAGGCCAGTAATACCACTGGTCCATGGAGTATCTATCTTGGAAGGCTGAGTGGCTCCTGCTCTAATCTGTGCTTCCTGCTGGGCCACCACTAAGAAGGCCAGGTAAAGGCATGAGATTTATTCCTGGGGTACGCAGAGGTACAGACCAGAATGCATTTGACAGGTGGCTCAGAAACATCATTCTAAACTGTAATTAGGGTACAACTGAAAAAAGCCAGTTAATCTGATACTCGAGGTACACTGTGGCTTCATTGAGCTTAAATGGATATACCAGGACACTGATGTTGCTCTTAGAAAAGTATTCTTGCCAATAAACATTTTTAAAATGTTTATATAACAAGGTCTTCCAGACCTGAACAGTCAGATACCATTTTTCACCTATCAAATTGTCAAAACTTAGGAAAATATAAGAGCATGCAGTGTCAGGGAGAATTCAGGGACACAGGTACTCTCCTTTAAAGCTGGTATCACCATCCTACAGGACATCCGGTAAGACACATCCAAGGCTTGAAAAATGCATGTCCTTTGACTCAGTAATTCCACTTCCAGGAATTGTCCCCCATGAAAACAATTAAGGATAAGAACAAATACTAAGCTGCAAGGATGTTTAATACTTACTTTGTAGGAAAGCAAACACTATCCAACAACTGAAGACTGATCAAGTAAATTAAGCTATAGCCTTACAATGGGCTGTTGTGCAGCCATTAAACTGATGCTGTAGAAATGTGACTACTGACATGCAAAAATGTTTGTGATCTGTTAAACAAACTAAAAGCAAGTTATAAAGTAGTGGTAGGCTGCGAGTGTCTTTCAGGTGATACACAGGCTAGAGAGGTACCAGTCCTTGCCCTCTCCCTATGTACCTCATCACCATGCCTTGAAAAAACTGAGGAAATCAAGGACTTTCTGCTCATAGCCAAGTGAAAGGATGTCAAATTTGTCAAGATCAAGAAAAACAAGGATAATGTGAACTTTAAAGTTCGATGCAGCAAATACCTTTATACCTTGGTCACCGCAGAGAAAGAGAAAGCAGAGAAACTAAAGGAGTCCTTGTCCCCTGGTTTGGCAATAAAAGAGCTGAAATGAGCCAGACATGCTGATTTGAACTATATTAACATATTTTTAATTCAAAAAAAAGAAATAATAGATGATGATTCCATCTGGGCTTACAAACATACTTCTGGGCCGGGCATGGTGGCTCGCACCTGTAATCCCAACATTTTGAGAGGCCTCAAGACAGGAGGATCACTTGAGGTCAGGAGTTCGAGACCAGGCTGGCCAACATGGTAAAATCCTATCTCAACTAAAAATGCAAAAATTAGGAGAGCATGGACGTACATGCCTATAGTCCCAGCTATTTGGGAGGCTGAGGCAGGAAAACCTGGGAGATAGAATTTGCCAAGATGCGCCACTGCACTCCAGCCTGGGCAACAGAGCAAGACTTCATCTCAAAAAAACAAACTAGCTGGGCGTGGTGGCTGATGCCTGTAATCCCAACACTTTGGGAGGCTGAGGCAAGCAGATCACAAGGTAAGAAGTTTGAGATCAGCCTGACCAACATGGTGAAACCCCGTCCCTACTAAAAATACGAAAAAAGAAAATTAGCTGGGCATGGTGGCGCACACCTGTAATCCCAGCTACTCAGGAGGCTGAGGCAGAAGAATCACTTGAACCCCGGGGGCAGAGGTTGCAGTGAGTCAAGATCACACCACTGCACTCCAGCCTGGGCAACAGAGCAAGACTCCATCTCAAAAACAAACAAACAAACAAACAAAAAAGACATACTTCTATATGATTGTGTGGGTATAAAGTAAAAAAAGATCTGGAAGGCAATACATCAAGATTTGATTAATAGAAATTAGTTTCAGTAAGCTTACAACCACTTATGGCATTCTACTTTTAGCACCTAGGTATATTTTATGATTTTTCTATAAATACTATATATTGCTTTAATAAAAATATTAAAAATAAGTCTGGGCACAGTGGCTCACACCTGTAATCTCAGCATTTGGGATGCCAAGATGCATGGACCACTTAAGGCCAGGCATTCAGACCAGCCTGGCAACATGGTGAAACCCTGTCTCTACTAAAAATACAGAAATTTAGCCAGGTATGGCGGCAGGCCCCTGTAATCCCAGCTACTCTGGAGGCTGAGGCAGGAGAATCACTTGAAACCCAGGTGGCAGAGGTTGCAGTGAGCCAAGATTGTGCAATTGCACTCCAGCCTGGGCAACAAGAGTGAAACTTTTATCTCAAAAATAAGATAAATTTAAAATAAAAATTTGTTCTTTTTTTTTAGATGGAGTCTCACTCTGTTGCCCAGGCTGAAGTGCAGTGGTACAATCTTGGCTCACTGCAACCTCCACCTCCCTGGTTCAAGCAACTCCCCTGCCTCAGCCTCCTAAGTAGCTGGGATTTTAGGTATGAGCCATCACCCCGAGCCTAAAAAATTGTTTTATTCATTTACTGATTTATTTATTGGAGACAAGGTCTCCCTCTGTTGCCCAGGCTGCAGTATAGCAGTGCAATCCCGATTCACTGCAGCCTCAAGTTCCTGGGCTTCCTGGGCTCAGGCGATTCTTCTACCTTAGCCTCCCAAGCAGCAGGGACTACAAGTGCATGCCACCACACCCACCTAATTTTTAAATTTTTTATAGAGCAATTTCTCAGTTGCCCGGGTTGAAAATTTCTTAATTTTGAAGGAAAGTATTGAAACTACAAGCTAACTAACACAAAGTGTTTATAAATCATGCCAGGTCTATACTGTAGTTCTAGGGCAACCCTAATGCAGGAGGGAAAATCTCTTTTCCTCCCTGAGGAGAAGGGCAGCAAACGTAGCACAGTGGTAATTCCCTTCTTGGTGGCACAAAAATAAGCAGGTGGTCCAGAACTGACCACCTCCTGGGGGCTCACCTTTCTTGTCTCAGTTTCTGGGAGAGGCACTGCAGGTACAGGGACGGTGAGCTGCAGGACCGTTCCAGCAGGGACACATCTGCAGTGCAAAGGCTCCAGAAGAAGTCAGCTTCTCGGTGAACTGTGCGCAGCCCTCGCTGCTGAGGATTGGATTCCACGTTCTTCATTGCTGGTCCATCCACCTCCAGGAGGCTGCTGTCCTCCAGCTGGCCCTCTGACACCATATAGTTCTGAATAAAAAACACCTTTGGCTTCCCTACCAGATAAGGGCATAAATCTCCCATAAACATCCTCCTGATGTGATGCAGGGAGAGCCCTGAGTGAGTCTGATCCACACCATGCACACTCTGGGAGCCTCCTCGGCTCACCAGGACACACACAAAGCTGTCGTAATCTTGGTGTTGGGGCATACGGGCAACTCTTTGAAGAACTTGTAATATACCATCCATAGTGAGATGCAAGGATTTCTGAACTTCATATCCCAGGGAAGTGAAGGTATCTCGAAGAAGCTCTGGGGGAAACAAAAAACAAACATGGAAAAGAACACTGGAGTGAGAAGAACTCAAGAGGAACTGGGAAGGAATCCTAGTCATGGTCTAATCTCCATTATGAAAAGCTTCTGCTTTTATGTCATATTTAGATGGGCCTGAGTCCTAGGCAGTTGGAACAAAATCACCTGAAACATGAAAGATATGACTTTAGGTACCTAAATATGGTCTCTGTCTTGCTATACCACTGTCCCTGCCTGATGCCAGCCACCACCACAACCAGCCCCAGGTATAGACTAGTCTAAAACCCTGGATTGACTTTGCCTGGAGAAGCAGTATAAGGTAGTGGAGAGAGCAGACTTCATGGCAGACAAGCCTGCCTTCTAATGCTGACCTTACCACACCTTGGGCTGTACAACCTTAAGAAAGTAGGTCTCCCTAACTTTATTAATTTTTTTTTTATTTTTTAGGTTTTGTTTGTTTTTTTTCGAGGCAAGGTCTCATTCTGTTGCCCAGACTGGAATACAGTGCTACAATCATGGCTCACTGCAGCCTCGACCTCCTGGACTCAAGCAATCCTCCCACCTCAACCTCCCAAGTAGCTAGGGCTACAGGCGCACACCACTATGCCTGGTTAATTTTTGTATTTTTTATAGAGGTGGGGTTTTGCCATGTTGCCCAGGCTGGTCTTGAACTCCTGGGCTCAAGCGATCCTCCCACCTCAGCCTCTCAAAGTGCTGGCATTACAGGTGTAAGCTACCACGTCTAGCCCTAAGCCACTGCACCCAGCCCTCCTACCTCCTACTTTAAATGGAAGCGATAACACCCACTACTCTGATAATTAAATAAAACAAATAGAGCTCTTGATACTCAATAAATATTAGTTCTTGTTCCTTTGTTTAAAATCTTTTTGTCCCTCATCTAGAAGTTTCTATGGCCCTGGAGATCCTACCAAGTCCAGTTCTTATTCATCTGTTCAGTCTGCCTTCATTGGAGAAATAAACACAGCATCCTGAATCAATTTATATCTTTCTAATAGCAAAGGGAGACTTTTTTCTCTTCCCCATTCAAAAATTCCACATCCAGCCTGGGGCAGTGGCTCATGCCTGTAGTGTCAACTACTTGGGAGGTGAGGCAGGAGGATCCCTTGAGGCCAGGAGTTTAAGTCCTGCCTGGGCAACATAGCGAGACCTTGTCTCTACAAAAAATATAAAAATAAGAATAATTTTTAAATTCCATATTTGTTTGAGCCACTCGTTCCATTTCTGTTCCTTATCTGGGGGATGCCTCCAATTCTTAGTTCATTTGCTGAGCAGAAACACTGCTCTATTCAAAACTCAGAAACTAAACAAGCATCTCTCAATTCAGGATGTCACTCAAACTGTTAGTCCACTTCTCTGTATTTGTTTCGATGTCTCATCACTGAGTGCCAACCTATAGTCCTCTCCTGGGCTGTGTGATCTTCCAAAAGTTTACCTCTGTGTTCACCCCAAACCAAACAACACAATAATAATTATAGCAGGTATCACTTCCACCAAGGAATAAAGGGGCCCCATCTTATACTAGTTTGTGCATCACAGAAAGAGATCAAAAGGGGGAAAATACCTGAAGGCACCACATAACTATTTACTACAAGTTCTCAATTATGCTAAATGGGAATTACATGAAGCATAGATAGTTACAAATAAGTCAAAGATTCACAGCTTCACTCAGTAGTTTCAACCTTCTTGCCTAGCAAACTTTACCAAACACTAATGAACTATAAAAGTAAGTGAAGACTCAATTTATCTTTTGGATTCTCAGAAGAAAACAAGAGAAAGATAAAAAAAAAAAAAAAAAAAAAAAAAGAAAAGAAAAAGAAAAGAAACACAATCATGCGTTTAAAAAAAAAAAAAAAAAAAAACTGGACTAAGGAGCCACTGGACCTGTGAGAGTTGGCTTGAGTGCTCTGAATTTAATTCACTCAGCCTATGAGCCGTATCTATATACTCACATAGGGTCTAGGAGAACTTTCTGGCCCAGGCTTCTGGGTTGGCCTCACATCCTACCAGATATGGTGGTTTTAAACTACATTCAGAAACTCTTTGACACTCCTCCCTTGCAAAGATAGAGTACCTCCCCTCTCCCTGAAAGTAGACCAGACTTGGTAATTCATTTGAAATGAATACACTGTGGCAGAAGTGATAATATGTCACTACCAAAGCTAGATCACAGAAATGATACAGCTTCTACCTGGCTCTTTCTTTCACTCTCTCTCTGTCTGTCTTTTTTTTCAGTCTTATTGAAGTCAAGACCTCACAATCTTTCTTCTGAGTGGCTCACTCTGGGGGAAGCCCACCACCACACTATGAAAGTACTCAAGCAGTCCCTCAGAGAGGCCCATGTGAACGACCGGCTTCCTGCCAACAGCCAGCACCAACTTCCCAGTCATGTGAAGTGGAGCCTCCAATTCCAATCAAGCATTCACATGGCCAGCTGACAACGGATCACAACTTCACTAGACTCTGGGCCAGAACAGCCCAACTAAGCTGCTCCGAAATTCCTCACCCATAGGTGAGGATATAATTAAATTAATAACCGTGAATATATAATTAAATTAGTATTGTTTTAAGCCACTAAACTTTGGAATGATTTGTATACACTTTTAGGTAAATAATTCACTAGGTTAGTCCTTTGACCTTTCCTATCAGTAAAAGGAAATGGCTTCTTACTTTTCTTCTTTGCTTGGCCCACAACTAAGGATTAAACAATGAATTATTGACTGGACGAAGCGGCTCATGTCTGTAATCCCAGCACTTTGGGCAGCCCAGGAGGGCGGATCACCTGAGGTCAGGAGCTCAAGACCAGTCTGGCCAACATAGTGAAACCCCATCTCTACTAAAAATACAAAAATTAGCTGGGTATGGTGGCAGGCGCCTGTAATCCCAGCTACTTGGGAGGCTAAGGTGGGAGAATTGCTTGAATCCGGGAGGCAGAGGTTGAAGAAAGCCGAGACTGTGACACTGCACTCCAGCCTGGGCAACAGAGAAAGACTCCGTCTCAAAAAATAAAAATAAAGAATTATTATATCATGTAAGAATAAAGAGATACAAAGAAGGTGCTGATTGATATTCCTAAGTCTATAATCAATAAGCATCATTAACAAGGAAATAGGAGATGTGATTAACAGGTTGCAAATAACCCATTAAATAATGAGGACAGTCAGGCACGGTGGCTCATACCTGTAATCCCAGCTATTCAGGAGGCTGAGACGGGAGAACTGCTTGAACCTGGGAGGTGGAGGTTGCAGTGAGCCAAGATTGTGCCATTGCACTCCAGCCTGGGAGACAGAGCAGGGCTCCACTTCAATAATGATAATAATAATAATAATAATAATAATGATGAGGGCAGATGCCTTCACAGGATCTCCAGGTAGCTGTTACTAGGACTGTAATTTTGTACAGCCTTTTTGAGGAGCAATTTGGGAGTACCATTAAATTTTAAATGTGTATACTCTTTATAAAAAAAGAAAAATGTCTGTGTGGTAGAAGAGGCCTGGCTGCACTGTTCCTTAGCCATCTCCTCTGAGGGTGCAAGAGAGGCTTTGATACCCAGAATTGCATCCAGGCTGAATAAGGAGAGAACCCGGACTCGGACTCCAGTTCCATCACCGCTATTCTATTCCAAACACTTCTTGTCAGGACTCACATGTCTCTAATCATGGAGTATTTGCTCCTCCAGGGGGCAGACGCAAACAGGGAAACACCAGACTCAAAGCTCTTGTTTACTTATCTCAAGATTGGTTCACTCCCCTCAAAACCTCTCTTCACTGATAAATGTCCTTCCCTATCAAAGACCTTGAAAGAAAGCTTCTCCCTACCCATGCTGATATGTGAGGCTTGGACGGAACAAATGCTGTCCTGTGCCTTCCGGCTCTTTCCTTTATTTGTGATCCTGGAGGTTCTGGCTGGGGAATTCCCTGTCATATGACCGTGAGCAGACAGCTGTGTGGTGCTGGGCGAAAGAGGAACCAGCCTTCGAATCACAAGATGTGAGTTTAAGTCCTAGCTCCTCCATCTCCACCTGTTAGGGTCTGAATCTTGCACGGTCTTGGAAGAGGACTGAGCTATACCAGCAGAGGAGCTAAGAAGGGAATGGGAATCTCAGGTCTGGGGCAGAAAATCCTGACCTAAAAGAACAGCAGAAAAATGGCTAAAGCTGGAGGTGAAGCCAAAAACCATGTAGGTCCCAAATGCCAATAAGAACAGCAAGATAATGACAGTGTGACTTTGAGTCAGTTTTGAGTCAGCCCCAGTTTATTTATCTCTAAAACAGGATTAAAACTAATACTTGGCCAGTTGCAGTGGCTCACACCTATAATCTCAGCCCTTTGGGAGGCTGAGGTGGGAGGATGGCTTGAGCTCAAGAGTCTGAGACTAGCCTGGACAACACAGGGAGACCCCATCTCTACAAAAAATGAAAAATTAGCCAAGCATGGTAGTGCATGCCTGTAGTCACAGCTACTCAGAGGCTGAGGCAGGAGGATTTCTTGAGCAGGAGGCTCTTCAAAAGATGACTGTGAGGGCAGTGTATGGTGGCTCATACCTGTAATCCCAGCACTTTGGGAGGCCAAGGCAGGTGGAGCTCCGGCGTTTGAGACCAGCCTGGGCAAAATGGCAAAATCCCATGTCTACCAAAAATACAAAAATTGGCTGGACGTGGTGGTGCACATCTGTAGTCCCAGCTACTTGGGTGGCTAAGGCAGGAGGCTCATGTTCACTTGAGCCCAGGAAGTGGAGGAGCCAAGATCAACCCATTGCACTCTAGCCTGAGAGACAGAGTGAGTCTCTGTCTCAAAAAAAAAGGTGACTATGAAGATCCAATGAGAGTTCTGTAAAGATGCTTTGCAAAGTTTATTCAAATATAAGATATTGACTTTAAAGGAAATAAAGGCAGCCATTTCTAAGTACAAATCACCAATCTTATGGTGGTGTGCCTTTCTCATGGAATCTCTCTTAGGACCTGGATGGAGGTCTCTATATTC